TAGATTAAACTAACGAGCTCAATCAATATGAGATTGTCCGTATATTGTTGTGACGGACAGCTAACTACCTTTATAAGCAAAATACATATCTTTATTTTTTTCTGATTTAAATTAATAATTTCATTATAATGTAATATCAAGTATAAATTTTCTAATACATTTAGTTTTATGCAGTTAAAATAAAGTTGAATCATGTTATGAGTTTGCAAATATAATTTGTTAACCTAAGAGATAAATCACTTAGTTATTCAAAAGAGCTACTTTATTAAATTTTTAAATATAATATGTTGTTTTTCAAACTTTTTCTAGATTATTCTATTGTAATCATAAAAGCTTTATACTTAATATCATTTTAATCAACAAATTTTAAAATAAAAATATTTAAATTTATGAATAAACAGACAAATCTAAAACACTATCAAAATTAAACCTGTCAAAACGGGTTAGTGGGGCGGATTGGCCCACAACCCACCATAACTCGCAATAAGCGGGTTGTTTGCGGGCCAATCCGCGGCGGAGCGGATCAAAATTTCATCAGCCCAACCTAACCCACTGGCGGGTGGCGAGATAAGCGGGCTAGCTCACGAACTTTATAAAAATATTAAAATAATATTAATGTTATAAATATTTTCGTAATTAATATTTATAAATAGCTAAAAATAGTTTTATTGTAGAATTTAAATAATAAATATTTTAAAATAAGTAACAAATATAAAAATTTTCAATTCTAAATATTATTAGTTGGTGTATTTAAAAAAAATTAATATAAGAAATACTTCATTTTAAAAATAAATTATAATTAATTTTATGAATTTGTGAAATTATAAAATGGAAGACGAACAAAACAAATGATGAAAAATCGAAACAAACAACAGTGAGTGACATGGATAACAGAAGAAAAACAACGTGACAATATTGATAATTTATTTAAACTAATGATAATATAAATTTTATTTTATTTGTCTTAATTTAAAGTATTTCTTTTCAGTAGATTAAAAATAATCATATATTATTTATTAAATAAAGTATACAAGATGATTTTGATACTCTTTACTTTTGTACGTTATTTATAAATTAATGGTATATTTGTAATTTATATAAAATCAAAATATATACTTATATTAATATTTAATAAGTTTTATTATAATTTTTTAGTATGACAGTTAAAAATAGTAGAAAAATATTTTTAGTTAGATAGATGAGTATTAATTATTATATTTAATTAGCCCGCGAGCTAACCTGTCCCAGTGCGGGTCAACCCGCAGGCCACGCGGGTTGACCCATTTAGCCCTGCGTTTTAATGGGTTTAAAAAATTACAACACAATCCTCCTTAAAAGTAAGGTGGGGCGGGCCAATCCAACGGGCTCAACCCATTTTGGCGGCTCTAATCAAAATAACTTAAATTCATATTAATATGAAATTCTCCAACTTTAAATTTGAAGTTATAGCTAAACCTAATAACTTAAATATTATCGTGTTTTGATAATATAATTATCATCTTTGTTGTTGATAATTACTCCCTCCGTCTCAATACAATAGTCTTGTTTATCATTTTTATCCGTTCTAAAACAATATTCTTATTTCCATAAATAATTATATTACCAAAAAATTACTCCTACTTTTTTATTTTTATTACACAATTGCCACTACTTTTTACACTAATACACTCCTAAGGGCAAAAAAATATTTTATCCGTACTTTTTAACCAACTACCAATATAATATTAATATTCTATCCAACTCAATTAATACTAATTAATACTGTATTTATGGAATAAAGGGAGTATATTACTATTATTATTATTATTATTATTATTATTATTATTATTATAATTATAATCATTATCATCAACATTATTATTATATATTATAATTTAGTCCTTATCCATCTAAATATATAATAATATAAGTAAAAATAATAATACAAAAAAGATATTAATATTTATTTCTATTTTTCTTATTTGATTATGACAAAAAATTGATAAATAACTCAATTTTATATTCCATAATTTCATTCTTTTATGTATACAGAAAATTAAGAGAGAAATAAAATAAAGAAAATCAATCCGTGTTTATTTATTTTATTTTTTTACATTTAATTTTTACAATTTAATTTATATTTATTTTTAAATTTTTCTTATATTATCTATTATTTTATAACTTTTATATTTTATTCAAATTTCATTATATGTCATATTTAAATTATTATTAAAATAAATTATGAAACTAAAAATATAAATAAAAAATACAATATATATATATATATATTTTATCTAATTTATTAGTAATTTTAGTTACTGATTTTTATATTTTTTTTCAATTTGTAATATAATTTTTCTTTATGCTATAGTATTTTTTTCATTTTACATTTCTCAACCAGAATTCTTTGTTCTACCAAATAAAAAAATCAATTCTCATTCTCTATTGAATTTTTTTTCTATAATTTCATTCTTTATTCTGTGTACAAAACGCACCCTTAAGATACAAAACAACAATACTTTTGTCATAAATATTAATTTATCTGTTCTCAATAAATTTATCAAAAATTTTAATTGATATAATAATATTATTTTATATATTTTAAAATAGGGATTATTGCAATTCACCTCCTTAAAAGAATTTTGTCCCCGAAATCTAAACTCGAACACACAATATTATTAAACTAAACAATCGGAAGCATGCTTTATATATCTCTTGTTTTATATTCCATGAAATTTGAGGTGCCAAACAATAAATTCAGTCACCAATTCGCTCATGATTTCATATGGTGCAACGAAATAAGCACTTAATTTTGCTTCCATCCAAAACTTCATAATTCTTCTCATCTGAGATACTTTGGTTAAAACAAAATCTCCAACTTTGAAGTTGACCATAACATCGAGTTTTATCTGCATAACTCTTATAAAGATCATTATTATATGAAGATTCCACCAAATCAAGTAGTCCTCCCATTTTTTATTTGAAATTCCATTGCACGAGCCCTTAAGGGGTGTTTGTTTGGGGATTCGGATTTTGAGTTGGGATTTAAATAGTAAAAATTTTGAATTTGAATAGTTGTATAACGTGATATAAATAAGTGTTGATACGATGTATTGAAAGATTGATTTTTTAGTATAATATAAAAAATGAAAAATAAATTTTGATTTGATATTTTTTGGGGAATAAAAATGAGATGAATAGTGAATTTAAAATTCAACCCCCCAAATAAATACACCCTAAATATTTTATGTATGACTTAAGTATATATGTAAAAAAAAAAAAAAAACTTTTTGAAAATTCTAAGGGTATTGAAAATTTTATAAAATTAAATGAAAAATAAGTTTTATACATAAAAAATTGATATATTATTTTACATAAAATAAATATTCAAAATGATATTTATAAAATAATACCATATCAAATATAAAATTAATTATATGGGTGTGTACCTTTGGATCTAATATGCAATATATGCATCATATTAACAATGGTAAATGCAGCCTATAACAATAGATTATTAAAAAAGATTATATAGAGATTTTTATTTTTATATATTTTTTTATATCACTTAAATATTCTAATAATATAAGCAAATATAATTCAAATAATTACAATCTAAATTTTACTCTTTCTAAAATATTTACTTTTTTGTCGGTTCGACATAATTTATTTTTTTTTAAAAAAAAATATTATATTTTTTTAATTGTATTTCAAATTATAATTTATAATTTTTTTTAATTTTTAATTAAATTGTTTAGTTATTTTGATATATAATTATTTTTATTATACTTCTTTTTTTCCATAACTATAGTTTGGGTTGTGTTTGGTACGAGATTTAAGGAATATTGATATTAGATTAGTAGTAGTAAAAAATACATGTAAAAGACGTTTTTGCCCTTGTGAGTGTATTAGTGTAAAAAGTAGTGTCAATTTGTAATAATAATGAAATAATAAGAGTAGTTTTATAGTGATATAATTATTTATGAAAATGAGACTATTGTTTCAGAACGTACAAAAATGATAAACTTGTATGGGGATGCAGAGAGTATAAAATAATAATTATTTTAGTAATACATTTATATTTCGCCTAAATTTTCCTATCTACTTTTATATGAATAATTTAATTGAGAGAGAGCGAATAATAATAATTAGAAAGTTATTATATAAAGTTATTTTTATATAAATACAAAAAATATTACATAGTTTATCCAAAAATCAGAATATATATATTTAAATATTTTGATTTAAACAATATCTCAATAAAACATTTTCTATTTATTCTCATATTTTACTTCTTCATTTTTTGTGTCAGTCCGTTTAAACTTGTTCTATTATTGATTTTAGCGAATTAAAATATTAATATTTATAATAATTATTATTATTTAATATTTATTTATCACTGTAATCATTTCGCATTATTCTTTTTTATTTTTTTTTTCTAAATTTTCATTTATATTATATTATATTTATTAAATATACTTTAAATAGGTATATCTATTAAGGATAAAAAATATATATATCTGATTGTTTTGGATATATTAGGGGTGTATTCTTTAAGTTTTTTTCTTTTTTTTTTTCACGTTTTTCTTTAAAAATATTAATATATTATATATTTATTATTCAATTTTTTTACTTTATATTAATTTTTTTTAAAAATTATCTCATAAAATAAACATAATATAAAATAATAATAAATAATAAATATGTAAAATGAAATATTAAATTATAATTTTTAATATTAATATTATATTGATTTATAATTTAAAAAACAAAATATTTTTTTGTATTATTATAAACAAAAATAGAAAGTATTTTATTAGTGCTCATTTAATTTGTTGATTTTAGTTTAAATATTGAGTTTTAAGTATTATGTATAAGTAATTAAAAATTATATTAATAAAATTAATTATAATTTAATAAATAATTATAAATTAAAATAACTAAATAATTTAATTAAAATAATGAAAAGAGTAATATATTTATTATGGAATGAAAAATGGAAAATGGCAGATAATGGTAAGTAAACGGAGGAGAGATTATTAATAAAATCTTATTAAGAAGAAGAAAAGCACCCAAATGATTAGCACCGATGTGACTTCCTTCGCAGTTCTTCCTTCTCCTTCCGTCGTCTCTGCTTCTCGCCGTATTCGCTCCCAACTCCGGCCCTCAATCCCTGTTGACGGCGTGGCATACCCTCCCCTCTCTTCTCAATTGTGCTGTCAATTTGGATGTGCGCCTGTTTTTTGCCAGTGATCTGATTGTCGAACAAAATTGGGGATTTCTGGCGCCGCCGACCGACCATCGTCGATTCTTAGGTGCCGGGAATCACTTGCGTTTCCCGATCATCGAACGGATATTGGTCTGGGCTGGGTTGATTCGTGGAATGGTCGGTCTGATTTCTGCGGCGGATTCTCGATAAGGCTCCGAGTTCCGATTCATCGCGTTTTAGTTCCGATCCAATGGTCTATTTCGATCGCTCTGTTTCGGTTGAGCAGCACGTCGGCATGACCAAATCGGTGAATTCGACGAATTCTTGCCTGAAGCTGAAGCGAATCAATCAGAACAGGCGGACTTCTTTTAGTCTTCCCAATCACTTAAACATCCCGGCTTGCGAGCAATCGCGCTATGCTATAATTGACGTTGTGATCTTAATTGCCGTAATCGGTGCTTGTGGATTTTTGTTCTATCCTTACGCTCGTATTCTAGGGCACAAAACTATTGAATTGGGGGTGGAAGTTTTGAACGCCGTTGGTGAAGAACTTGTCCGTGCCCCTATGGTGTTTGCATGCTTAGGGCTTGCAATTATCTTCGCATCAATGGCGCTCGTAGCAATATTAGTCTGGGCAGACAGGAAATGCGGGAGACCGGACTGTCAGGGCCTCCGCGCCGCCGCTGAATTCGACATTCAATTGGAGACTGAGGAGACTGTGAAGAAATCAAACAGCCTAACTAAAACTGTGTTGAAGAAGGGACTGTTCGAATTGCCGCTTGATCACAACAAGGAATTGGAAGCAGAGCTGAAGCAGATGGCGCCGCCTAATGGAAGAGCAATTCTGATTTTCCGGGCGAGGTGCGGCTGCCCTGTTGGGAGGTTGGAGGTTCCAGGTCATCGGAAACCTCGAAAGGTTAAAAAGTTAGCATCAAATTGATAGATTAATTTTTTGCTTTATACTGAATAGGAAGAGTATATTTGGTGCTGAAAATATTATCTGTGAAGAACATGCCCCTTTGTGGGGTTTAATTTTCTTTGAAGGATATGGATTTGAATAATTTCGACAGAATCATGGGTGATGCATATCTATAAACTGGTTTATTTCAGGGGTATATGTTGGATCTCTTGCTTTCAGTGGTTTTATAGTTTCGAAAACATGTTTATGCTCTTTAATTCTTGGTTTGCTCTGATATCTTTATAGCTGTGATTATGTGAGATCATTCTAATGGTCATTTCATTGAATTTGGGCTGCTGTATAGTTCTTCTGATGTTTCCAGCTTCATTAGTGTTTTAGTAATTTTCCCTTTGCAGTGTGGTGCTTTTGCCGAATAATTTATTTATTTGCACCCGGAAAAGATGGACTTCTTGTTTTGAGGTAAGAGCTTTTCCATTTCATGTAGCAATAGTTTGTAGATAGAACCATAGGATTATCTCCAAATCATCTGTTTCGACTCTTGGAACCATATAAAAACACTTTTAAGAGCCCTCTAGACTGTTCCCAACTTGAATAATCACACCAAGAATTTTCTGCTACATTTTATATACTCTGAAACTGATGTTGTTTAGTTGATGGTAGTTCAGAACTCTGTCTGGTCACATGATCTTGAGTATGAACAGCCACTTAGTATTTGCTCACTTGCTCTGTCTTCGATGAGAAACTCGGGCGCATATACTAAAACTTTACCTGTGTTTTGCTTGTAGTTCCCATTGCTATAATGTAATGCTATTGTGTTGATTGAAATTAAAGGGTATTGTTATTTGTTACAGTTCCAAAATGTTGCTCAAAGATTGGTGTCCAGTTTTGATGAATGTTATGCAATTGCAGAGTGAACAAGTGCATAGAAATGTATGTGGGAGTGAGAGTAGGAATGATTTAGATGCATTTGGAACATTTTGAGCTAGTCTTGGATGGATGGATGGATGGATCTCATCTTGTAATTTAATTGCATTACAAAGACAGACAGACAGACAACCAAGTTGAATGACAAGGACACAGAAAATCTTACATGATTCATGCCCAGAAAATCTTTTATTTTAGTATAAATATACCAAATATTTCATATTTATTTCAAAATATTATCTTGGTCCAAAATTATGCAAGTTTTATTCAAATAAAATATGTAAGATAGTTTAAATGACTTTATTTGAAATAAATAAATGATAAATTTTATAGTTTTTTTATGTATAAAAATTAGGTAATAGTTGATTGATTTCAAAAAACTAAAATTATTAATTATTAAATTATTTAGTTATTTATTTTATTCAAAATATATTATTTAAAATATTTAATTTTTTTATATTTATAAATTGTTTATAATTAAATGTGTGTATACAATAAACATAATTTTAAACTTACAGATTGTTTTGTATCTATTTTAATATAATATAAAAGAATTACATGATATAAATTAGATAAAATACGACATGTTTTTATTCACTTTTACTTAAAAACACAGGTATTCGTTCTTTTAATACATGTATTAAGATATTATACTAGTTATTTATTTTAATTACTATTGAAATTCAAAGTATGAATGCATAATAATAATAATAATAATATTAAAATAACTCTGTCATCAGTCACCACTCCAGTCCGCAAATCGTCAGGACCCGTAACCAAATCCGAACCCGGCCCGCAGGACAAAGAGGTGGACCCTCCATCCTCCGGTCTCCTCCGGCAAGCTGAAGCGGCAAAGCGGGCAGGAGCGGCTGATCCGGAGCCACTTGTCGATGCAGGCGGAGTGAAACTTATGCCCGCACGGCATCTCCTTCGCCTCCGCTTCGTGCTCCGCCAAGCAAATCGGGCACTCCTGATCCGGGTCGGGTACCCGGACCCGAATCAGCGATTCGATCGCAGCTTTCGACGCCGGACATGGACAGGAACAGGAAGACGAAGACGAACCTTCCCAGGACAGAATTTCTCGCAGCAGAGACTCAACGTCGAGCGACCCCTCCACCACCTTGATCAATCCCGTCTGCTGGTGCACCAACACCGCCACCGACGACGACATTTCCAGCTCCATTAATTGATAGTTTTCGATACGAAAATCGACTCCTGCAGCAAATTGAAGTAAAATTATTCTATCCAGCAGACGAGGCTAGGGTTTTATGTATATATATGTATATGTATATGGCCGAAAGAAGGCGAGATTATGCGAGTAAATATTGGAGGCGAAGATGTGGCGCAGCGTTGGGTTTTTGGGAGGTCCGCGGACCTCAACGCCAGATGTGGGAGAATAGTGGGGCAATTGAGGTCCTGGAGCTTCTGGGAGCACGTTGTGTGGAAAGTGGGCACTTAGCTTGTAGGCAAATGGTGATTGATAGTCTATTTGGTTTTAGGAGAAAGTTGTGACATGAGTGCCAAGTAGGTTTGTCGTGGACCATATTGGCCCTCACAAATTTTTATTAGTATTATTTTTATTTTATTTTTATTTCTATTTTTATATTTATCATTTTATTTTCTTGTATTATTATTATTATTAGGCACAATTTGGATTTTGCATGCAGTTTTTATCTGTCAGATAATTTGGATAAAATGTCGGCAGTGTCGATCTACCAATATTTGCGAACCTATATTATTCTTTATAATTATATAATAAGACAACAAATAATATATATTGGAATATTGTTTTCAAATATGATTATATATTTATGTGTAAAGAGTTACATTATTTTTATTTTATTTTATTTTAAATGAGGTAAAAGTTGTAACATGTTTTATTTTGTTTAATGGTGACCGGATTATATCTAATATAAATAAATAATGATTCAATATTTTTAGAGAAAAAATCAAGTTTAGTTCAAATATGATTAAAATTTATCAATTTTGGTCCAAATATAAAAAAAATAAAAAAATCATTAATTTTAGTTTTATTGTAAACAGATAAGGGTGACTTATCTGTCAATTTTTTCACTATCACCCCTGCTTCACCTTAATTGTTATTTGAACAACCGTTAAAAGACTAACGGAAATTGATGACATTGACGTGACAGCTGGCTTGGAAACTATACGGTCTGTGTATCTTTCTGTTTTGGTGTAAAATTTTATTTTTTTTATATTTTTTGTTTAAAAAAAATATTTTGAATTAGAACAATTGATATAGTTAAAATTGAAAAAATCATTAGTCATTCTAATATAATTAAAATGTATCAATTTTAATTCAAATATAAAAAATTATATGATATGTTCTTTTGAAAAGATTTTGCCTAAAATATTCATCAAAATCTTTCATCTTACAAACATCTAATTACACAATTATTTTTTATTTTTATACTATTATATTAAAATTTTATTTTACATTTCAATACAATTTCAATATAGACAGACATACATAATTGTATTGAAATATAAAATTAATTTTTAATAATATAATATACAAAAATAAAAAATAGTGGTGCAATTGAATATTTTTTTTTTTAAAAAAAATGGTAAATAAGTAAAATTTTAGGCAAAATCTTTGTTGAACTAAATTTGATACATTTTAATTATATTATGATTACTATTGATTTTTTTTTTTAACTATATCAACTGTTCTAAATTTTAAATATTTTTTTTAAAACAATATAATAATAATAAATATTTATACCAAAACCGAAAGGTACACGGCCATGTAAAATTATACCTGACCGTATAAGAACATGACAATGTATAATTGTACACTGAAATGGCCGTGTGACAACATGACCGTATATAATTGTACATGGCCGTGCAGTTTCCAGGTCAGCTGCCACGTCAACTCCGTTACGTCCACGTCAGCAATTTCCGTTAGTTTTCTAACGGTATGACCAAACTTGATTAAAATTGTTTATAATGGAACAAAATTGATTGAAATTGTTTATAATATGACTAAAATTATGAATTTTTATATTGAGACTAAAATTGATAAATTTTGATTATATTATAACCAAAATTGATTTTTTTCCCATATTTTAAATATAAAATTATTTTTTTTGAAAGAAAAAAATGAATATTAATCTTTTCAAATTGGAAACAAACACAACCAAAACGCTTTTGATAAAATTATATAGATATCTACTACAAAAGAAATTCAATCAAAAAATTGTTCAAAAAAGTGTTATATTTGCAAGAAAAGTAAATATTACAATCATTTTTAAGTTAGAAAAATAAATAAAAACTTATGAAAAAAGGAAAATTGGAAAGCAAGAAATACAAAATGAAAAATATATTACTAACTTTTTGATATTTAAATATTAATTATTATATTAATAGTAGTACAAATTAATAGAAAATGAAAAAGATAAGTTTATTAGTCTCTTATATACAAATACAATGACATTTCTGAAGTGATTTATTTAAATATAATGATATTTTTAATGTAAGTACAACGATGCAAAAATCAAATGACAATCTTGCACCGGAACATAGAGAGAATATATCCTTTAATGTTTGTTTTCTTATTTTAGTTTTAAATTTAGATTTAATTTAATATTTGGATTAAATTAATTTTGATTGGTATATATTACATTTAATTTATTTATATTAGGATTTAATTATATCCATTATAGATTGATTGTATTGATTATAGTCTATCAAATTTGTTTGATAATATGCGAGGTCTTTATTTTAAGGGTCAATAATAATACAATATTTTAAATTTTTATAAAATTATTTTAAAATTTATTTTATTTAAATAATAGTTCGATTTAATTTTTAAAAAATATATATATAATTTTACTTTGAAAACAAAAATTTATTTAAACAATAATTTAAATATGATATTACATAAGAAAAAAATATATATATTTATAGAAATTGTGACAATTATATATAGTAGTAAAATCAAACTAAAAAATACTCCCTCCGTCTCATGTTTATCATTTTTGTCCGTCTCAAAACAATAGTCTGATTTTCATAAATAATCATATCACTACAAAATTAACCTTATCTTTTCATTATTATTACACAATTGCCGCTACTTTTTACACTAATACACTCACAAGGGTAAAAAAGTCTTTTGCCCGTACTTTTTACTCACTATCAATATAATATCAATATTTCTTAAATCTCGTACCAAACACAACCCAAATTATAGTTCTGGACGGAGGGAGTATGTGTTTCTTTTACCGCAGAATCGTTTTCTACTATTTGGACTCTACATTTCCCGAAGAAAATATATTTTTTTCTCTTACAAAATATTTCATTATACATTATTTTTATACTAAATCTAAACCTAAATTTTCCAAACTAAATGAAAGAAAGAGACTGGTCTGGAACTTTAACCATATTTTTCATGTATATATACATATTATTTTTTTTAAAAAAAAATAGTATATTTAATCTAAACTTTGTAAAACTCTGTTGGAGTTTTTTAAAAATAAATACTAAAGAGTGTATTTCATCGTGATTTTGTAAAATTCTGTTGAACTTTTAAAATATAGTATATTCAATCTAAAATTTTAAAAATATTTAAAAATTTCAAAAGTATTATAAAATCCATTAACTTTGTTTGATTCTTGTTGAAAATTATGAATAAATGATACAAAAATCTTATTGTAAGAGAGATTTATATGGATTCTCAAAAATATATTATTATGAAAAGTGATAAATATTATGATAATATTATTAATAATATTTAATAAAATAATAATTTCAAATTTTAAAATATATAATAATAATAATAATAATTTTAAAAATTAAAATATAATAGCAAAATATTAACAAAATTTTCAAAAATATATATTTTTAGTTGAAATTATAAATTAATTCTTATTTTCTTTTGGATTTTAAAAATAGTCAAATAAATTTAATTGAAAAAAAAAATTATTATTATAATATTATAATATTAATAATAATAATTTAAAAAACTAAAATATATAGAAAAAATATAATAGATTTTAGAAAATAAAATATAATAGCAAAATATTAACAAAATTTTCAAAAATATATGTTTTTAATGGAAAATTACGAAGTAATTCTTATTTTCTCTTGAACTAAAAAATTCAAATGAATCTAATTGAAAAAATATAGAGAGAATTTGAACCAAAGTCATTAGGGACATTATTCATCTCCATATCTTTATTCCATTGTTATTTTACATAAAATTTGTTTAATTAATAATACATATTTACATATATAAAATTAAAAATATTAATATATAAAAATAATATTTCGCTACAATTACGATATATCATTAATAATATATATATTATTTTAATGATTATATTTTTGATATTTTTTATTTAATTATTTTAATATTTAGTAAATATGTTTAGTATAAAATTTTTACAAATTTATAAATTAATAAAAAAATATTTTATAATTGAAATCGTATAAACCTATAAACAATTAATTAAAATCTATAAAAAAATCCATTTAAATTAATATATAAAATTCAAATTTCCAAATCCATGTAACTCTATATATTTTTTTAATTCATTTAAAATATCAAATGAATACTCTATAATAGTATTAAAAGTTCAAGAAAGTCTAAGGGTGTATTTGTTTTTAGGTTTTAGTTTTTAGATTTGAATTTTTAAATAGTAGAAACTTAAATTTGAATAAATATTTAATATGATATAAATTGAGATTGACGTGATATTTTGAATATAAAATAAATTTGTAATATAATAATAATAATAATAATAAGTAACTGTTGATGTGATATTTTTTTAGGATAAAAAGAATCTTAACAGTAAAAACTGTAAAACCCACGTAAAAAAACACAACCTAATTTTTTTCCAACTAAAATTAAAGAATGTTTATGAAATAAATTAAAAAAATATCAATGTCTGAAGTAATTTTAAATTTGGAGATTACGGTGCATTTGTTTGAGAGATTTTGTAAAAATTTCACAGTTCATCCAAAATTTTTTTTCAATAATATCAAATTAAATTTATTTTTTATTTTTATATTATTTTAAAAATTAATTTTACATTTAAAATATCACATCAATATATCACATTATACCACTGATAAAATATAAAATTCAAAACTTTTAGTCTTCAAATTATTACTCAAACTTCAAACGTCCATACAAACAAACACCTTTATTAACAATAAATATATATTTTTTTTATCCAGTAAGTAGGCACACATAATTTTTATTTAAAGATATTATTTATTATATAAAATATTATATATATATATATATATATATAGCCAAATACGTACGCTTGACGCCTTCTTCGAAATTCCAATCGATCGGCACAGGAAAGGAAAGGATTGTGTGAACTGCCATCGCTCTCCGCCGAGAGAGAATCCCCATCGAGGCTTCCGTCCATCCATGGAAGCACAACCGTCGCCAATCGCCATGGATTATTCGTTCGAAATTTTACAAATCTACTGCCAGTACTGTGGTAATTTAGTGCATCTGGTCTTCGCTTTCGTTTTTGTTAACTATGAGTTTGCTTATCGGGGTTTAGGTTGGACGAGTAAAGTTCTTGAAGTTCTTGATGTAGGGATGTCAGGAACTTTTAAATTGCGTTAAAAGTGGATTACTGTCTTTAGGTATTTGTGCCGGTTTAATTTACACGAACTCTTGAAAACTTTTAGGAATTTTGCCTGTGAGTTGTCTGCGTTATAATTGTTCGTTTATGTGGTGAGTTATGAAGACTTGTTTATGACGAAGTTGTGAGTTGTATTTTGTGAGAATGCATAGCCTAGCTTCGCTTCCGTTTTGATGGCCAGCAGCATACGGTTTTCTGTGTTGGTGACTATTTTCTCTGCTTATTGTATTTGCACTTGTATTCTGAAACTGATTTTTTTTTTGCCCCAGAAATTACTTCAGCTGCGGCAATGATCGATGGAAGAAAGGGTTTTGGGCCAGATGGTGAGCAGCAGGGAGCGAGAATATCAAGAGAAGCACTGGCACAATTGTTGAAAATTTTTGAGTCAAGAGTTGCTACAAGGTATCGGTTTTGCTACTATGAGATTCCACACTAGGTGCATTTTACAGATAAATCTTCTGAAGTGAATTCAATGTCCCATTTGTCCAGGAAAAAAGAAAAAAGAAACAATCAAATGTAGATAAAATAGGCTATCATCTGATATTGTCTGCTAATTCAAAGGATGACTTGGAAAATCCAAGTTGTGTTTCCAATTCATTGCATATGTAATTATGTATGAATAAATATTAGTAATTGTTTATAGCTTTCTTTCTCTACTCCCCACTTGGGCCATTTTTAAGTATGTTAAAAATCAATTTCCTTACAGAAAAGAATATGATATTTTAGGTGATTAACCTAGAAAAGTTTGAATATGAGAACTAAGAAGAGTCCTGATGCAGGATTTCAATCTTTGAGGAAATGTACAAGTTTATGTCAAGACTAAATTTCACGGTAAGACCGATATTATTAGTTCTATTCTATACCCTCGATTCAATGGTTGGCAGAGTATTCCTCTTGAAACACATTACCCTTTTCTTTATAGGGTGATTTTGGAACGTTCTCTCGCTTTTATGATTTTGTTTTCTTCATTTGCCGGGAAAATGGTCAAAGAAACATCAGTAAGTTGATATTTAGCATTCACTGTCATTTGTATTTACATTGAAAAATCACTGGCCCAAGATCTAATTTTAAGTACCATAATTGTGAATATTTTCCAGCTGTAAGTAGGGCTGTTATGGCCTGGAGATTAGTTTTGGCTGGCAGGTTTCGGCTGCTTGACCAATGGTGCAAATTTGTTGAGGTAAGGTTATTGCAGATTTGGCCTTGATCTATGCGAAACCGATGTGTCATGTTATTTTTATATTCATCATTTCACACAAGTTCTTGTCGCATTTATTGAAATTGTGTTATGTGGACAAATAAACAACATAGATAATGAATGGTGTGCTTACGTCGGAAATCTAGTCACAGTACTTAACTTTTATGTTCCTATTTGTTGGGGCCTGCACTTCTCTACAGGAAAATCAACGACATAACATATCCGAGGATACATGGCGGCAAGTCTTAGCTTTCAGTCGATGTGTTCATGAAAATCTCGAAGGTTATGATCCCAAAGGTATTTATTTTTGGTGCCTGTTTTTTTGGTACGATGGTCTCTACATGTTTCTTGTTTTCCATGATAAGATCCCCAATTCTCCAAGTTCCAATTTACTCTCTTATGGTTTGTACCTCATTTGTCAGTACTTGGCAGTTAAACCTTTGGTATCTGTCTGATTTTTTTGAAGAAGTGGATATTAATTCAATCCAACACCACACAAACGAACCCAACAAATCTTGTTTTTTTAAGTGGCTGTTTAGTCAATAAAGTTGTTGCTATGTAAATGCTTTAGAATGTTGCACGGATGGGGTTAAATATGATGTTGGAGTATATTTCGTTTTCTTATCGTTTTGCTTTGTCTTCCCTTCAAGGGAATAGTTTGAAGTTGACTGCAGTCTTATTTCCTCTGATTTCTGCTCTGCTGTAAAAGCTATTTAGTTAGTTGTGTTAGTTGATGGAAATGGGCTTCACAGTTGTACATCCTGTCCATCCAAGAAGACACTCTTTACTTTGCTCGTTCATTTTTTGCTATTGATAAGCTGGACCGTTCTTTTTTTCGTAAGAATGTAACGATTTTCTGTATATTGTCTACACAAACTTGTATGGTTTATTGTGTGGGGTGAATTTATCTCCTCAATAGAGTCGTATTTTAAGATACTTTTCATTATTATATATTACAAATATATGTCATATATTGAGTAATAACTTTAATATGCTACGGAAAATAATACATGAGAAGTTTGGCTATTTTATTGATGAAATTTTATATTAAGTTTATTCATTATCACAGTTATCTTTTCTTTTGTAATTTTGACTTTATTTATTTTCTTTCCAGGAGCGTGGCCTGTCTTAATTGATGATTTCGTGGAGTACATGTACAGGTACAGTGAATTTTTGTGCTCCCAAAGTATATTTGTTCATACACACACTTGATGAGACTTTAGATGCAGTAATGGCTTTAGATGTGCTCCCTAAATACCCCAAAATTACAATATTATAGTCACTTTTAAAAATATTATACATATTTCCCAAATTATCTTTCTAATCTATATATTATATATAGAAAAAATATATAGATTATATGTACTTCTGAATATTATCAAAGGTATTAATGATGATCATTCACCAATACAATCCATGCCTTTTAAATTGCAAGAAAGATGTATGATTATCGATAAAAGATGGCACTATGCATAAATAATTTGGTCATATTATTTTGTTGTTAGATAGGATTAGTTTTCCCATATTATACCAGATCGACCTTTTATTATGGGCCCTAATTCAATATGGTAACCATGGGAGACGTTGTACTTTCACGACTGATGCTCATACTAAATCCTGCATGAGATGGAGAACCACATGAATACATTGAATGGTTTTTGTTAAATTACTGATGTAAGGATTTGATCTGGACTAACACTGAGATCAAAATTAATGGTTTTTATCCCATGTACCTTGCTGCTTGCTTTTCGTCGAGTTCATTGTCACTAATACATCAAACTCTAATTTCATACTCGTAACCACTTGTGTGTCTGTCGCGTTTTTTTGGTACTCAGATTGACATATATGTGTTCTATGCAGAACCAAGGGTTCCCACAGCACTCCGACTCTATGCTGCAATTGCAGTGACCCTGAACCCCAACAATGCTCGGATGCTCGGCCTGGTATGCAGAAACTAGACTAACACTGCCAAACGCTTCGATCTGACATCAATACAACACCCCTTCTGAAACATCTGGCACCTGCAGGTTTGAAGTTTTGCCCTGGTTCAAAGAGGAAGTCGAGCGACAACCTGCGGATGGATGAGGACATTCCGGAAAATTCAAAGCGAAGGCACCTTTCCGAGAACACGGGGCTGGCTAGCTGTTGCCATAATCAGCTGTGTAGCAGTGAAGACGACGGCACTGAAACAGCTAAGCATAGTAGCCCATTCAGTTCCTCCAAGTCTCAATGCGCCGTCGAGGGATGTCTGTCTAAGGGCTTCGCAGGACTCCTCTCCGGTCATTCTTGCTTGCAGTTCGACCAGGACCGAAGAGTGTCCTACACGTAGACGGGTTAAAAATTTACGCAATACTCGGGTGGTTCCCTTACCTTTCAGGGAAAACACCCCACAGTTGGAACATGTGTGTTTTGAGTATGAAAAAAAACGAAAAAAGAAACCTATTGAACCTCAATGATAGAGATTTATTGATGTAGAGCAAAATAAGATCACAATACTCCCATCTCTTCTACTTATCTTACTAATTTCACCATTGATATTTTGCAGCTAGAAGAACTTCCTCGTAATGCTGAGCAGCATTGTCCCAGCTGAGATCCTGCGACATCCCGCGCCGTTGCAGCCCCTCCCAGCTCGGCTTGTACTGCCGGTAAGTCGTCAAACAGTTCCCCAAAGCGTGTATAAGTTCGTTCGCATCTGCTCGGGGAAATGTCCACCCCACCCCGGATTCCTCGTACGGGTTGAATGGCATTACTGTGTCTCGTAGCCCGCCGACTGAATGAACTACGGGGATCGTCCCGTATCGCATTGCGTAGAGTTGGTTTAGCCCGCAAGGCTCGAATCTTGACGGCATCAGGAGTATGTCGGCGCCAGCAGTTATGCGGTGAGCCGTTTTCACCGAGAAACCTACCCACCCTCTGGCTTTGTCGTTGTACTGTCCCTCGAACTTCCGAAGCATGTCTTCGAGATCGGGCCTGCCGGTGCCGAGCATCACCAGCTGCACGTTCTGGCCCATCATCCAGGGAATGGCTTCGGCGATAAGATCGACGCCTTTTTGGTGGTCGAGTCTCCCGATGAAACCGATCAGCGGAGCGTCACTTTTAACCGGCAGGCCGAGCTCGTTTTGCAGCGCTGCTTTGCACTGAGCCTTGCCCGTTTTTAGGGTGTCGATCGAGTAGTTTACATATCCGTCCGATTGCAGGTGCACGTCTAGCTCGGGACTCCAATCGTTTGTGTCGATCCCGTTCACGATTCCACGCAGCTTCCAGTCGTGTTCGTTGATGATCCCGTGTAAACCCCATCCGCCTTCCGACGTCTTTACCTCCCAAGCGTATCCATGACTTACCGTGACAATACGATCCGCAGTCTTTAAACCCGCGGCGAAGATGTTGAAGTGTTCTCCTCCGATCGGATCGTACAGCTTGAAAAGATCCATGTAGTGTTCGGGAAGATCGACATACCAAAAATCCTCGACGGGACCACGGCCCTAGATTGTCGACGAATGGATAAAAACAACGGGGAAAGATTATGGCGAAGGTTGTAAGGGCAGGGACAAACCTGATGAGCTATATTGTGGATGACGAGTACGGATCTCGCGTATTTCATCAGCCCGTTGTCCCGATAATACGCCTTTAAGTAGACGGGCAATAACGCCGTGTGCCAGTCATTGGCGATGAAAACTAAATTTCCATCTCCGTAGCACACCCCGCCACAAGGAACATGCCACGGAACCTGTAATTAACATCTGTTCTTGATCATACGAAACCAAGAAATCGAATATTGAAGCTGAAATCGAAAACTACACTCCAATCTTAGCTTACTAAAATGGATTAGACCATCGACAACATGTTTTTATAAATTCTAGAGACGACGAGCTCTCATTAAAAGCAAGATCGACCTACCTCGACAGCAGCCTTGCAGAAGAGAACCATGCGCTTCAGAATCTCCTGCAAGAACACGTAAAGCTGTAAGATCGCCGAAGGATTAATGTTATTGACAATGGGAAGGATTCTGTCGAAATGGAGAAACATATATTGTCACACCTCGCGATTTCCTCCGTAAATTTTATTGCCCATGTGACGAAACGAGGGGCTATCAACAAAAACAAAATCGACACCATCAATGTACGCGTGGTAGAAATTAACTTCGTGATCCTGCAACATACATACATACATACATACATACAATGCAATGTCATACAGCGATTCGAACCCATCTCAAATCATGTAAGCATTCGATTACCTGTCCGTGCACTTTATATCTCTTCCGAACCCCTAAATCCTGAGCTTCAGCATAGTCTCCATATCGAGGGATAACAACCTAACAGATACAGAAGAACTTCATTTAGTTAATCACCTTCAGTAGCCAATACTTAAATCTTTTATTGTTTGTTAGCTTTACGACCAATTCAACTGTATATCGATCCCCTTGAATGAAATAACCTTTCTTCGAAGTTAAAAGTTCACCAAACTCTATATATGACATAAGAAATCATTAGACTTATCATATCAGGTAAACATACAAACCACACCTATGATATCCCCAAAAATCTATCATTACACGAAACATTATTTGCGATTTAGCATCAATCTTGTATGTGTAGATTTGAAATTTACCATGACTCTGTGTCCGCGCCTTGCTAAGGCCTTTGGTAAAGCGCCAGCAACATCTCCAAGTCCACCTAACGTTAATTGTTAGTCTAACATAATTTAATCGACTGTAAATTATTGCCAATTCATCGCAACCTAAATTGTGAAGTACGGACCTGTTTTGTACCAGGGTGCGCATTCAGCAGCTACCAATATTATGTTCATCACATTGACCCCAGCAAGCGGAGGAGGTTTGATGACTTCTTCGGCAGGTCCTTCGACAACAACCGTATCCTCCACATTTACTTTCTTCTCGCCTTGTTTCTCATCTTTTTTGACGAATGGTATGTTAGATAACGTTGCTGTGTTAAAAGTAATATCATTCAAAAATTTCCTCGAATCTTCATTTGGAAGTGTCCTTGAAGCAGGCTCGGAACTTGGCGTTGCAGACGATTTCGAAGGCTGTGATGGCGGCGCTTCCTTTGGCTCAACACCCCGAGGTGTAATGGTTTTGAGCTGTTCTTGGGGGCCGGCACCAAAAGAAGTCCCATTTGCCGGAAGGGTACTTCCCGGCTCCGTTCCAGCTGCAAAGACACATCGCTCGTCTCAAACTCATGACTAATGAACACTATTTTTCGAACTTATGGCTCTTACAGGTACCGGGAGTTCCGGAAACAGAGGCATTAGCCTCCGAAGAAGGCTTTTCGAGGATTTCTGGATCAATTATACTACTTTTGATCGATGAGACTAGCTTCTTCCTTTCTTCTATCTGCAAATTTAGCATAGGCAGGATTACAATTGACTGCTCTACTCCCATTCTTGAATTGACATTAATGGAGTTTGTGTATTAACATGTAGGGTTTTCTACCTCAATGCTAAGTATTTGCACAGTGGAAAAGTAACATAAAATGTAGATTAGATAAAGAAAATGATTCTCAAGAAACAGAAGAACCTGCTGTAAAAGGTTTCTTTGCATAGCAAGAACCTTTTTCCCCTTTTCTATGGTGGCTTGAACGGCGTCTTCTGATTCGCCGCCGGTTTCTGCTCCTCCGGTTTCTTCTCCGGCGGCTTTTGGCCGCCGCTCCTCCGCCCACCTTCGCCGCCGGTTTCTCGGTCCATTGGACAGAGACAGTCCGACTCCTCCCCAAATTTCCTCTTTCAAATTCCTAGAAACCCCTGCCGTACTGCAATCGGAAAAACCCCCAATTTTATCGCCGGTTCTCGGCCGGAATCCGAGCACCGGAGTCTTCGCTCTGTTGAGGAGTATTGCTGTGTCGAATCCGGTGGAGAAGGCTCCCATCGACGCCATTAAAGCAAACCCTTCTACAATTTTAACCTAAGGTAAAAAAAAAAAAAAAAAAAAAATCCTTCCTCCTCTCTCTCTAATCTCTGTATCTATCTCTTCAGGAATGGCCTATCCGGTGGGAAAATGGGGGGCGCAGAATCAGTAATCATCCGATTCAACAATTACTCTGCAGAAATGGCGATTCGAAAGGAGCGTTGGGGAGTGTGATGCGAATGGCCCAGTACTTCACTGATTAGACGAATTATCGATCAGGTAACAAAATATCTATCTGAAAAACTGCTCCCTAATTAGTAGGGCCCATTGGCACACACAAATAAAAACACTTATTACATGAAATTGAACAACAACGATGGACCAGAAACCTCAATTGCATTTGCTGCATATGTAAAAGAAGAGCAGCTGACAAGTATGGATTACCATTTACCATCGGCAATAAAAATCCAATCTTTGCACACCAATGGTATGCTCAAGTTTCCATTTTTATTTCTTTTTTGGTGGTTTTGGGGTAATCCCACGTGGGTTTTTGTTGATCGATTTGGAAGGATTTGATTGATTGGTGTGTTTGAGGACTGTGTTCATTTGATCTTGAAGCAGAGGTGGAGAGGAAAGATGGCGATTGTGGATGAAGACATTAGGCATTTTTATTGATTTTTTTAAGTTAATGTTGTCTGAAGATATGATTTCACACGTGATCTAATGGATCGATCTATTGGGAATGTTTGATGGTGTAGATACACACTGCTATATTATTACGTAGGGTGTGTTTCTGGGGTTTGCACTGTTTCGCCGCTATGCGGTTTGAAATGAGCGGAAAACCAGCCATAAAATGACCAAATCTAACAAGCCTAATTCCTAGGCCTGTGACAAAATGATTTATTGTGTAAGTATTTATTTATTTATTCTTTTTATAATTTGGTGGCGGCCTTGTACAAGAGTTTTAGGTTGTGTTTGGTACAGATAAATGAGACCAGAGAAATGGAAATGGTATTATTTCTCTTTGTTTGTTTGAGTCAGAGAAATGAAACTTGAGAAATAAATCATTTTCATTTCTCTGTTTTTATTTCTCTTCCATATGCAGAGAAATAGAAAGAAATAATGCTGCACTATATATAATTTTTAAATTTTTAAATTTTTTTTACTATTTAATTTTTATAATTTTCTAAAAGTTATATTATTTTAATTTTACAAAAAACAAACTTAATTTATTTTTAAAATATTTAATTTTTACGACATTTTAAGAAATTGTACTAAGATATAATCTTAAAAAACATCGTATATAATTTATATTTTTTTAAAAAAAAAATTACCAAAAATATTTTTCATGAATTCTTATTCGTTAAAACTTTCTTTTTATCGTGTTAATCATTTATTTTTGTTTGCTCATTCATATATCTGCATTTTTTTTAGATTTCTCGAATCAATTTTCTGTTTTATCAAACAAGAGAATTAATTCTCATTTTCTACTCAATTCCATTTCTCTCCAATTCTATTCTTTACTATCATTTCTCCGCAATTCCATTCTCTATACCAAACGCCCCTTAGGATGTGTTTGGTATAGATAAATGAGGTAAGAGAAATGAAAATGGTCTCATTTATTTTGTTTGTTTGAGTCAGAGAAATGAAATTTGAGAAATAAATCATTTTTATTTATATGTTTTCATTTATCTCTTGTATGCAGATAAATTGAAAAAAATGATATGAAGTATATATTTTTTTAATTTTTTAAAATTTTTTTTGTACTATCTAATTTATATATATATTTTTAATATATTATTTTAATTTTACTTTTACGATTTTTTAAGAATTTAAACTAAAATATAAAACATCGTATATAATTTATAATTTTTTTAAAAGAAAGTCACTAAAAATATTTTTTATGAATTTTCATTCGTTAAAACTATTTTTTTTACCCAATTAATCATTTATTCTTATTTGATCCATATTTTCTTTTTATACATTTCTCAATTAAATTTTTTATTTTACCAAACAAGAGAATTAGTTCTCATTGTCTTTCATTCTCTACTCTCGTTTATCTGCAATTTCATTATCGGCACCAAACGTCACTAGGGCTTAATGGTAGTTTTTTTTTTCTTTAATATATTTATAATTAAAAATAATATATTATAAATTTAAAAATATTATTATTAATAATAAATTAAATTTATTTAATTTAATATAATTAATACCTATCAAATCAATACATATAAAAAATTTTCAAATTTAAATTAAATTTATAACTCTAAAGAAATACAATAAATCAAATTTAAATTCACACTCAAATCAAAACTTCTCCAAACCACTCAAAAGAAACACATCCTTAGGAACGCATTAGAAAAAATGTAAAAAAAATTAATTTATAAAAGTGAAAGGTTACTGCACGTGATTTTAGGTCAGAACTCCAAATTTCTTCCTAACAAACAATATAAGGAAGCTTAAGGAGAGGAGACAGAGAAATATTTTGTATCTATTCTATTCATTATTATTATTATTATTATTATTATTATTATTATTTTTTTATTATTATTATTATTATTATTATTATTATATTATCTTAGTGTAACGTATCAAAAATTGACACACTCGGCGTCCAGGTCAAAGGCCCAAATCAGTTATCCCTTGTGCGCAACAAATTTGGATATATCATGGAAAAATATGTGAAACAAGTATATGCATAAAGACATATATTATTGATTAATCGTACAGGATAAGAGACTCGCACACATAAAACGAATTATAATCGAAAACTTGAGACATAAATGTTAGTCCGTGACATTATGATATATTTACATGTATATATACTAAGCGGCATTAACAATGCTGATTTAGAAAAAAAAACATGGCACTAATTTTTCCATATAGCATTGTTCAAGTATTTAAAAAACACCCGTTCAATTGTTCATATAGTATATATTTTAGACTCCTAGTTTGATGATATTTGGATAACTAACAACACCGGACATAGCATAATATATGCTACATAGACAATTCGACATACTTTCATAAAATATCGTATATATACTGAAAATATCAAATTATATATTATTACCGTATTAAAAAAAATTAATATGATATTATATAACACAAAAAATGTTAATATATTAAAATTTCAGTATTTTAAATAAAAAATTTTGGTACAATTTTTTTTTTTATATCAAATTTTTTTATTTTTTTAAGTACAAATAATTTTAAAATTGTACTCCCTCCATTCCAAAATAATAGTCTCATTTTGCAATTTTTGTTCATCATAAAACAATAGTCTCATTTATATTTTTGGCAACAAACTCTCTATTTTTTTACAAAATTATCTCTATTCTTTATGACATAAAATATGACATTTTAATCTTTTAAAAACACTTTTACTTTCACTATTAATATAATAGTATTATTTTTTAATTATCGTGCAAATCTCAAATGTTTCTATTATTTTAAGACAGAGGTTGCCCATGTAGCTAGAGCACTGGGGTCCGTGACTCCGGTCTAAATATTATATCAAAAATACAATATAGAAAATATATTATCAAAATTAATTATGTTTATTTGTGATATTTTCTGATTTTATTATTTAAATATTTTTCTCTAAAAGATCAAATAACACATTTGTTTTTATTTATTATATTGTATTAAAAATTAATTTTATATTTTAAACATTACATCATTATATATTTATATCACATTAATTATTTTAATTTAAAATTTTATTATTCAAAATCGAAATCTAAAAGTAAAATATCGTCTGTAAACAAACTTACCTTTCATGAACAAATCAGGTAGTTGAGCAAAGCTAAGCACAAATTGAATAGTTGTTCAATGCATAGATAAAACATCACAGTCGAAATGACAGATACTTATAAATCATATTTGAAATATCTATTTTTTGTTTTACATAAATTTTATTAGGTTGAAATCAATATAATATATATTTTTATAAATATTGCATTGCGATTTAAGTGTATCAATTATTTTTAAAAATTATTTTACATATTTGAATTGAATCAAATAATTTATTGTGAGCTATGCTTTCAATATTAAGCACCATATATATATTGTTACTTTAAATTCACTTTATTTTTATATTTACTATTGTCCCATAAACTAAATTTTTAAGCTTACATTGATAATAAACTCATATAAAATTTTAAGGGTTGTGTTTATTAAAAAACACCACCGCATCTGTAAATTGCATTGAATTGAATAAAATTATGATATCCTTTATATTTTTTATATAAAGGAAATATATTTTTTTGAAAAAATAATTTGTACTTTTCGAATTAAACCATAATAAATTAAATGTTACAAATACTGATAACAAATAAAATACAACAACTCTCAATAAATTAAAAAGACAATAGTTACATTATTATAAAATTTATTTATTTACTATATAACAAAAAAAAAAAGTAAAAAATCTAACAGTATAAGAATTATATAAAGAATATAAAAATAATGAATATATGTAGTGTATTAATATTTTTTTAAAAAATATATAAAAAATGATAGAAAGAACAAAGTCTCAGGTAGACGAAAAATTTTATTATCATATATTAGGATTGTACTAGTTGTTTCTAAAACGTAAATAACAATTTGTAATAAAAAATAGCAAGTTTATTAGAAGTTCCAGTTAAACCCTTAGTTAGAAAAGAGCGGGAGGTGTCCAAAACCAAAACCCTCGCTACTTCCCCCTCTCACTCTCACTCACTCTCTCTCTCGCCTTCGATTCGGTTGCTCCGAGATGACCGGAAGTCGTGTTCGAGACCTCACACTGCTCTCCGAATTCAAACCATTGGGTTTGACTGCCGAGGCGTTGGACGGCGGGAAGCCTTCCGACGACGACGACGACGATTATCATTATTTCCTCTTCGACCCCCAAGTGGCCGGAGACCGAGGAGGCGGGTCTGACGATGACGATGCGTTTCTGTCTAATGAGAGCGGCGACCACGAGCTTTTTATCAGAGGAAACAGGTGAGGTGATGCTCGCTCGTTCTGGGTCTATAATGCTTGCTTGGGCTGATGCCTTTTTTTTTTTCCATCAGTCTTGACGACGGTTTGGGTTGACTCCCTTTGAGTTGTTGCTTGCTTGATTGCAGCTGCGATCGAGAGCTTTTTATTCTGGGAATGTAGTACATTTTTTTTTTTCTGAGTTTTGATTAGTTTGGGAAGTTTCAGAGTCTTACTCTGAGCGACAGGATGGATCCTGGAGTTTTTTCTATTTTCATCATAACAAATAATGATATGTGGAATTTGTTATTCCCTGTTCTGTGTAATGGACAATACAAAAGATCATTTCTTAAAATTTGATAACCATGACAGAATCATATGGAGCACAGGAACCAGAGTATATAAGAGGTTCACGCTGCCCTCCAAGGTCATCAAGGTGATAAATTTTTTTATGAGTCCTGAAAAGTTTTCCTTTTTTTGCACCCTACAATATTTACATCATTCTATTTTCAGCCGATAACTGTGATCCCTCTTATTACTCAATGTATTTCTTTGGATAGTTGAATTGCTCTTCAACGTCTTATGCTGACATGAAAGCGCCTGGTTACTACAAACTCTCGGAGTTTGAAATAATATTCTATAAGGGTGTGCCGTGGGTCTTTAACTTCAGCAGATTAAATGAGCTTAAACTAATAATGGGAAATAACAATAGATTTAAATTAGCCTAGGTGACCTCTTATTGTGTTAAAAGTTTTTGTTTGGCTTTGATGTTTCTGCTCTACCACTTTCTTCATCCCTTGTTTGTTTTGGATTGGACTTCATTTGGATAGACACCGTGATAAGATAAGTTTATATGCATGCTCGTGTTATTTTACAATGCTATAAATTGTTCATGATGTAACAGCATCATTACTAATACTTTGCATTTCCAAACATTTAAACTCCAAGTCTGAGATTTTGTTTAGGAAACTAAACAATTGTTAAGAGTTTGTTTTGGGTGATCTTGGGTTCATATATTCTGTGTCTGTACTAATTTTTTTTAGTGTGATGGCTAGTTTGGTCCTCTTGATAGGAAACGAAATATTAATGTGAGCTGAAAACGATGGAAAAACTGAAAATAAGAATGCTAACTCTTCTCCCTGTTTGATACGTACAAGCTTGTAGTGGTGCTCTATATATCAGTTTTATGATATGGCTTATGTTAATTGTCTGCAGGCATGCTGGTGTCGGATGGGAGAAATGTCTGAAGCGTCGCTTTGTGTTCTCCAAGTTTCTTGTTTAACCATCTATGGTTTAACAGGTGAGCAATTGTCACATTAATATAGTCTAAACATAGTTGTCCAGCTTTTCAAGAGAATTTCTGATTGGTACACGTATTCTATCATTTATAATTGATCTGTGGTCTGCTTTCTTTGATAAAATGTCATGGCACTTTTTAAGTGTGGGAAATTCTCTTTTGGTTTGCGTACTTGTGTTTCAAACTCAATTTCACACTATTCAATCTATTGTTTTTCCTCCACAAAAATTATAACACCCACTTTTTATTTAAAACATCACATATGACTATTTTCAAATCTAAAAAATTAAAAAATCAAAGTACGAAAATACAATGTATGATTATATTCTTGTAAAATTCTGTATTTCCGTTTTGCTGTTTTAACTTTCATATGATCTGTAAGACAGATGCTTTTCATGAAAATACTTTTTATTATTATAATTTTAAACCCATTACTCAAAGCAGGCAGGCCGCCTTATATAATTACTCTTTTGATATGATGCTCAAATTTTCAAATAAGGAAAACCACTATGGTATTGCTATGCTTATCCCTTTCCATGACATGTTCAACAAGAAGTAAAAATTTCATTTATTAAAAACTTGTTTAACTGATTATGCATAATGCATTGACTATTGAGACTCACTGATAATAAATCTAGACTTTATCTTCCCTCTTCAAGGAAGTTGTGCTTTTGTAACCTTGAAGGTCCTCAATATTAAGCCTGTCTTGTTACAATAGCTGTAACATGGTTTTCTTCTAGCATTTTTGCATCTCCTTGTTTTTGCTTAGACAGTGATGGAGAAATTCTAATCTCTACAGGTGAAGTGGTCTCGGTGCCACTTAGTCACGCCATCGCATCCATATGGCCACTTCCTGTTGGATTACTTCTTCAGCGGGCACCTGAAGGGAGCTTACTTACAAATATGTCATCATCTCCTCCATATGCATTTACAAGTGCACATGATACTTTCCGTCTAAAAAGTGATATTAGATACAGCCCTCGGCATAATTTCACTCCGCCTTCTTTATTTGGTATTGGTACAAGAAATGGTGGGATGTCAATTTCTTCCCATCTAATATTGAAGGATCCGTTAGAGGATCCCCGGGTACTGATTTAGCATGTTTTGATTATTTTTCTGTATTTTGTATTTGAAAACTTGTGGTTCCAGTTTGCCACATTTGAAATAAATCATTTTCTCTTAGGATCTGTTGATCATTGATATAATTATTTCAACTTCCATCTTAGATAACTTATATTGAAGAAAGAGACAAGTTGAATATGATGTCAGAATTTGATGAAGTCACAATTTGGACTAGCGATTATGTTCCTTTGATGGCGTCATATAACCAAGGTAAAGTAACTATTTTTTTTTCATCAGTTTTTATCAATTCTCACTTTTAAATTTGTACAAAGAGATGAATAATTGATTAATTACTCTGTAGGAAAAATGCAGCACTCCTTGTGGGTGGTAGAAGTTTGCAACTCCAACGCTGAAGTGGGAAAACCTAAATCTTGTGACTTATCAGCTCCTGTGGTGTCAGAAAATCATGTTTTTAGAAGAATATGGCTAGGGAAAGGTTCACAAACTGCTGCCAGTAAGGTGCCAAAACTTATCATCTGCTTCTGTGCCTTGTAATACGTATAAAGAGCACTGTTTATATAGAGCTTAGCTATCTGTCTCTAAGAAGAAAATATTGGTATATTGGTGCTTGCCATATCATTGCTAAAGCAGGCCTTTCTAGTATGTCATCATTAGAACTTATCTGGGTAGGATGTATCTTTTGGGGTATTGATGTATATTATTATTATTACTATAGAAGCGCACAGCTTAATTTAACAAGTCCTTGTCTCTGTGGTTAGTATTGCCTTCTGCAATATTTTTGCTTCTATGTTTCAATATAATCTCTTGCATAATGTGCCTATTTGAGTGTGTTTCTTGTTTTTTCAAATAGAATTATTTATATTTTATAATACTTGATTTTAAACGTTATCAGGTTTTTCTGGCGACTGATGATGATGGTACACCAATCATATGTCTTCTTTTTCACGAACAAAAGAAGTTGTTGTCTTTGCGGCTTCAGAGTCTTGAGATAAATAATGATACAATCTATGATATTAAGCCTGAAATGAGCTGGAGCATATCAGCAATTGCAGCAGCTGCTATTACAGTCACTCGACCTAAGTATATTACCTCTTTCCTTTTGTTAATTTTAATCTTCTATGCTTGTGCTAGAATAATTTGTAGGCAACTTATGCAGAGAGAAAGTGGGAAAACTTCCTCTTAGAGACATCATCGCATTAACTCCAGAAAACACACTTCTTCTCTATGTATGTTGCTTTAACTTTTAACCTAGTTTTGTACAAATCTATCTTTTACTGTACTGTCTTTTTTTGTTGTCAAGGTGATGAAGATTGTCAATTACACACTCGATTCTTGTAAAAAGTTAGGAAATGTTAGTTGAGGTCCAATTTTTTTAGTCTTTCATTTGCTGCTACAAAACATTTTGTTTAAAATGCTTATGTTTTTTCACTGTCTTCTAAATCAAAGTTGGATGACTGGTTAGTCTTGTTTAAAAAAAAAGAGTTATCTGTAAAAGTATGCAAATATATGATTGGCCTGTTTTGTGGTTTTAGATTGTTTTCATACCATTAAAAAAATATATATATATATAAATAAAAAGTAAAATTCATTTTTATTGAATTTTCTTTTATGGTGCCTTTGAGGTAAATACATACAGTTTGTTATTGCATATGAAACTATGAGTGAAATGCTTTCATAGAAAGTATTACATTGTGGCTTAGGTTTTTATTAACACACTTCATCATACAGGTATTGTATCATGTAGTCATTTTCCATGTTACTGCTAAACTTGTGTGTTTGTGCTCTATAGTCAGGGAAGCAATGTTTGTGCAAATATGCTATGCCTTCTACTTGGGTTAAAGATCAAGTTTTAAGGAAAACTATGTTACCAAGGGCCAGCAGCATCATGCAAGATCCTAAAATAGTTGATTTAGCAGATGCTGTCGAAGGGCGTGTCAACTTAGTTCTTAATGATGGACAGGTATGTGCGGAAGTATTTGTAATTGCAAATGACAATTTACTGTCCAAGAGCTAACATTAATTGCTGGATATTTTTTGGAGCTTCATGTTGTGTTGAGCAAATATTCATGGAACTGTCAGTGTTTATGTTACTCTTGCTCTAGATTTGCAGATGCACATTGCGGCGTAATCCTTCATCATGCCTAGCTGATGATTGTATTTCAGCAATGGCAGAAGGACTTGGCTCTAGTTTGTTTGGTCATTTCCTTGGCCTTCTATGGGGCGATGATGATTCTACTTATTTACTTGATGCAAGTTCTAGCCCTGATTCAGAATGGGAGTCCTTCTGTGATGTGATAACAAAAATATGTGACAAGTCAGAGTCATCATTGCAATCATTATCCGATTCAGTTTCAAGTTCATCTTGGGAGTTCCTCATCCGGAGCAAATATAATAAGCAATATGTTAGAAGTAATTATATTGCTGATGCGTTTCCTGGATTATCACCTGAATCGCATGGATTTTGTATATCTGGTGCTACTGTAGCTGATAGACAAAATACAGAGCAAGCCTTCTATCTGAAATTTCTGCCCGAAACTTTGGATACATTGCATGCTGTGTATGAAACACTTAAACTTGACAACCTCCGCAAAAGGTATAACAACTTTACTCTTATATATGTATATGTACATATACTTATTAAGCGTTTCTCATCAAGTGAAAAAAAGAATGTGACATGGGTGTATGAATTAAACTTGTGGAGTTTAATATAGATTTCTGCATATTTTATGCAATTGTGTTAACAGTGGATTTTCTTTTCTGTTTGCGAATTTTTGTGATCTCACTTTTTTGTAGATCTGTTTTGATTGTTAGGCTATGATTTTTTTTCTCTCACCACATGTTACTTGAAAGTTCATGTAACTAATTATAAAATTCATTTTATTTGTAGGGATTTGGGTCTTCTGGTAATCCTTTTGTGTGATATTGCTGATTTCCTGAATGAAGTGAGCTACTTGGATCATTATAAGCGTGATTTTCCTGGAATTGTGAAAATTTTTAAGAAGCCTCAGCGCTTGCTTACTTCAAGAACTCCTCCAAGTTTATTCAGATGGCTTGAAACTTGCTTGCAGCATGGATATGATTGTACCAGCACATCTGATTTGCCACTTCTGGTTTGTAAAGATGGAAATTGTATTGTAAGCTGGGCCAGGAAGATAGTGTCTTTTTATAGTCTCTTGTGTGGTGCAGATCACTCAGGAAATACTTCATCATTGGGTTTCACCTTTAATATATCTCCTGGCTTTTATCGTAACCGAGAGGAGCTTACAGTTCTTGCAATGGTTGGTGAAAGGTTTGGTTTGCAACATTTAGACTTGCTGCCAGCTGGTGTCTCTCTGCCACTGAGGCATGTACGTATGATATCTCTTCATGCTGACCTGGTCTTTTACTTTAGTTTTGTTAGATATTATCTTTGCATTCTTTTTTTGTTAATGTATTTGTTATAGAAAAGTGCTCTTGCCTCTTGCATTTGGTCTAGACAGTTTTTTCTTTATCTGGACTGCAATGAGATGTGAAACTAGGTTCTATTTGTATGCTTCAGTTGTATACATCATGACCATTTCATGTGCCATCTTTCATTTTTTTTTGGGAAAGAGGCTACATGTATGTAATATACCATGATATCTATTACATTACTGGTGGCTTTCGACTGAAATCTAATTATTGACTGATAGGTTTTGAATGCTTCATGGTATGCGTTTATCTGCCATCCAATATAATGGTTTAAGTGTTAGGTTCTTGATTGTAGCTACTTATCTTTATGTTCGATTTTGGATGACACGCACATAATTGAATGTTTTATGCTTCCCAAAATAACCAATGGTATTTGATTTTCAGGCAATTGACAAATGTCGTGAGTCTCCTCCGACAAATTGGCCTGCTGCTGCATATGTAATACTTGGTCGTGAAGATTTAGCGTTGCAGCACATGAGACATCCTACAAAATCAGTCAAGCTCGATCATACAAAGTCAAATTTGATTGCAGTTTCTACTCCTTACATGTTACCGTTGCATCCAGTGACCTTACCTTCGTCGTTTTCTGATACGCTTGATGCGGAGAATACAAAGCTCGAGGATGTAGACACTTTTGAAGGTTCTGTGACTGATGGAATGGAACATATTTTCAACTCCACCACACAGTTGAGATATGGTTGTGATCTACGGCTGAATGAGGTACGCAGTGAAGTGCTTAACCAATGATCTTACCTTTTTAATAACTACTTGTGTCTATTCTGTTCATTTCTTTTGGGCAACTATTCTGATCTAACATTTACTTTTATAAAATCAATTAATGAAATTAGTTCTGGTCCGACAGACGTTTTATATTTACCTTTTTGTTGTTTATGTGGGGCTTTGTTGGGGGCTTGGGGCTGACAGCTCAAGTTTCATTATCATAGGTTAGACGCCTTCTGTGCTCTGCAAGACCAGTTGCTATTCAGACACCTGGTAATCCCACGGCTTCTGATCAGGATTTCCAACAGGTAGCAATTGCTTCATTCACTAATTTTTACTTATTTTTTCCTCTTTCCTGAGCAAATTTCCTCATATTCTTCCTTTTTACATGCATCTTTTTGTGACAATCATGTGGTCTAATCTGTTATCAATTTTTTAGACTCAGCTCTGGCATCTTGCTCAAAGAACTACTGCCCTTCCGTTTGGTCGTGGAGCATTTACACTTGGCACTATTTTTACTCTCCTAACTGAGGTGAAAATTATTGTCGTTATTATTGCATTTTTAGCTCAGCCATTCGGGGTCCAATTCTCCAACCTCACCTGGACTTCAGTCTTATTTGGTTGATTTTAACTACTCAAATATAGATGATAGTGTGTTGTATAATCATCTGATTAATTTTTGTCCAGGCACTTGCTGTTCCAAAGCTGGTTTTGGCTGGTCGATTACCTGCTCAACAAAATGCAACAGTGTGTTTTTGTTAAGATTATTGATTTACTTATGCCATATGGAATGCTTAATAACTGTACTAGAATTTATGTTATGATGCAGGTTAATTTGGACCCAAACGTCAGAAATATTCAAGAACTTAAGTCCTGGCCAGAATTTCACAACGCTGTGGCAGCTGGCTTGAGGCTGTCTCCTGTTCAGGTCTTTTTTATATATAAATAAAATTTTTATTAGAACGTGAATTTTCCTAATCAAGTTAGAAATTTTGTTATGCATTGTATTCCTTCATTTCAGGGGAAAATGTCTAGAACGTGGATACTTTATAACAAACCAGATGAACCTAATGCTACTCATGCTGGGCTTCTTTTAGCACTGGGTTTACACGGACATCTTCATGTTTTGACCATTAGTGATATATTCAAATATTTTTCACAGGTAAATATGCCTATATCCTATATTTAGATATCTTCTTATCTCGTACTTATCTCTATTTGCTACTTTTATAAGCTTATCATCATTTGTGTTTCTCTTATTTATGAATGCCATATTCTTACTTTTTGGAATGTACCATTATTAATTTACTTCAGCCTCGTACATGTGAATATCAGATCAACATCTTTTGGCAGGAGATCAAATTTAATATCTAGATTCTGATCAGCTTATACAAATTTGGGTTTGTATTTATTGTTTGGGTTTTGAATGATGTGGTCCTTGATATCTGATTATTATAGAATCTAGTACTTGAGTTCACTGTCACTTGCTGTAACCACGGAGAAGTAGTCAGTCACATTCTACAATAATTGGCAAACTTCTGAATTTTTTGTATCACTGATTTAATTAATTTATTTATTTTTATTGCACATGGTAATAGTATTTCCTTTGTAGGAACATGAGAGTACAACAGTAGGATTAATGCTTGGCCTTGCAGCTTCATATAGAGCAACTATGCAGCCAGCTATCTCAAAGGTCAAATTTAACATCTTGCCTTTTTTCATCTAATTTTATTAACTGAACCTCTTCTGTTGACTTTTCCGTCAATAATTCTAGCGTGTTGAGGTTGGACGGCCTGTTTTAATGCCTAAAATTTATCAGGATTAGTAAGGTGGTCCTTATTTGAAAATGCAAATGATAAAAATGTCCTAATCTTATCTGGTTTCTCTACATTCATGCTGAATTGACTTATTCCTTTTATGCCAACAACTGTATATTAATTTCGTTAGTTTGATATGAGCAGTCGCTTTATGTACACTTGCCGGCCCGACATCCATCTTCCTTTCCGGAATTAGAAATGCCAACACTTATACAGGTAAAATTACATCCCTATGGATCAATGATACTTTGAACCATTAAATGTTATATTTGCTCATTCTGTTTTATTTTTCTTCAGCATTTTGTAATCCTTGCTATGCCTTCTTTGCCTCAGGTGTTCCTATTATGCAATTAGTTAAATCTACTTTTTAAAGAGATGACCATTTTATAGTTGAGTTTCATGACTAGGATAGCATCTTGTGTGATTACAGTGTTGCACAATTTGTTTACTATCTGATTGTGGCATTTTTATGGGCATTTCAATGATTCCCATGTAAAATATTTAAGCTTCAATGTTTTGGCTCTTCAGTCAGCGGCACTTATTTCTGTTGGGCTTCTATACGAAGGATCAGCACATCCACAAACAATGCAAATTCTTCTGGTAATATATTGAATATGATTATGTGGATTGTAATTGTTAATATTCTTTTATATTGGTTGTGTGGTTCTTACATATTATGTTTGTGTCTGCAGTCAATAACTTTGTCATAAATGCATTTACATGGAAAGATAAGGGACATAATGACTGTATGCCCCGGAGAAGATTACTCATTTACTGTTGTTTTATTTTATTATTATTACTATTTAATTCCTTTTAGCTTGAATTACATATTTTTATTTATTTGTTATTTTTAGCACACTATTTAAGAATGATTGCTACTTTACAGTAGAGTACTTTTTATTTATTTTATTGGCATATGCTAGTAAAGGAACATTTTTTAATGCTGACCATGACTAAAGTACTGGAAACTTATGGCTGCCTTTTGTTCTTCCCTTATTATTATTATTATTATTATTATATTAATTTTTTCATGCTTTGTTGAAGCTTTATTAGATTGACTGGAACTAACATCACCCTTATTCTACATTGTTCAACACTTGACAGGATAATAGTTTATTTGAGATATATTGCATATGTTATAGAAGTACAACAACCCCCCCTCCCCCTCCCCCCTAAAAAAAAAAGTCACAAATTGATATTTTTGAAGGTACATATCCTATATCATATAAAGTTGGACCTTGAAAAGCAATTGGTATATGTGTCAAGTACCACAAGACCTAGATCCAAAATGGTGGAAGTTGAGTTTAGTAGTTTAAAATACTAGAAAATCTGGACAGGATTTGGGGCAGTTTCCAAGTGATTGAAATTTAAATTTCTGTGCATATGTGGAGACGGCTATGAATTTTTTTGCCCATGTGTCATGCTTACCTAAAGCCATCTCATTTCCCAGAGTGAAATAGGCCGCAGAAGTGGAGGAGATAATGTACTTGAGAGGGAGGGTTATGCCGTTTCTGCTGGGTTTTCACTTGGACTTGTTGCATTAGGTATGATTTCAAGTGGCTTTTGTCGGTTGCTATTGTGTGTACCCTAACATAGGGCTACCCCTTTCTTTATTAAGGTCGTGGTGAAGATGCTATTGGCTCTGTTGATACCTTGGTTGGTCGGTTGTTCCAATACATTAGCGGCAAAGAACTTCATAATGTATGTACTGCTGCAGCTGCGTGAGTTTGACACTGCTTTTCAAAATAACCTGCTTACTATGATACGCGACTTACAGGACAGGTTCCAACCCTTATTATCATTTAGTGGTGAACAAAATCGAAGTTCAGGCCAGGTTGCTACCTCCAGTTCTGTTAATATAAAAGCTGTTTTATGATATAGATGTGGAATATCCAGATCTAATTTCCTATTTTCTTGCTAGATCATAGAGGGGAATTTGATCAACACTGATGTCACTGCACCTGGAGCTATAATTGCTCTCTCTTTGATGTATTTGAAGGTAAATTTTTGCATGAAATATTTTCTTGTAATTTTTTTCCTTGATTAAAGATTCAGATGTTTTTTTTCTCTTCAATTTCATAATGAGATATTGGTTAATTTATGATTTAAACAGACAGAATCAGAGCTAATAGTGTCCAAATTGACAATTCCACAAACTAAGTCTGAGTTGCAGTATGTAAGGCCTGATTTTATATTGATGCTTGTTGTTGCTCGGAATTTGATTATGTGGAGCAGGTAAAGTTTGTGGTTCTGCTAAATTTGAGATTTATGAAGTTACTGCAATTATATTGTTTGGTTGATGCAATTTTGATGTCACACAGAATCTGTCCCTCAGAAGATTGGATTGAGTCTCAGATTTCCGATGTGGTCAAGAATGGGATAAAGGCTGTTGGAAATGAGATGGATGATATGTATGAGACGGATGCTGAAGCCTTTGTCCAGGCATATGTCAATATAGTGGTTGGAGCATGCATTTCTATTGGTAATTTGTTCTCCTTGCTGAAAATCATCACTTCAGTGATTTTTGAGAAATTAATTTACCCTGCTGTACAATAAAAAACCTTAAAAGTTACATCCAAACTAAGTTCACGTGTTTTGGCATGCATGTGCTTGTGTTGCAAATATATTTGGCTGATTGGATTTAAAAACACTTCTTAATGGACTCATCTCTATTTGGCTACTTTTCTTTGTCAATGATTAGCATATTTATAGCTAGATTTTCTCTGCAATAATTTATTTTGAAATTACTCTAGTTCTTGTTATTTATTAGTTTGTCAAAAATATCAATAAAAGGTGTTTGCAGGGTTGCGATTTGCTGGTACAAGAGATGGAAATGCTCAAGAATTGCTTTATAAATATGCTGTCTACTTCCTGAACGAGGTTTGTCTTAAAATGCTGCCACTCTCTGTTTTTCACTGATACGCAATTAGAAGTGTGCTATTTGAAATGCAGATAAAGCCAACTTGTGTGTCCCATGCTAGTGGTTTGCCTAAAGGACTTTCTGTTTATGTTGATCGTGGAACCTTGGAGACATGCCTTCACCTAATTGTTCTTTCCTTATGTGTGGTCAGTAGATTACTTCACAAATCTTAATATTTGTTTGTAATTCAATTGCAAGATTGTATATGTGAGGTATCATATGGTTGTTCAGGTTATGGCTGGATCTGGTCATCTACAAACATTCAAATTCCTAAAATTTCTTCGCAGTCGAAACTCCACTGAGGGACATTCTTATTTTGGAATTCAAATGGCTGTAAGTCTGCTAAAAATCGAATCTGTGCTAGAACTGCATAATATCTTAGATGTATGTGAGGTCTTGGAGTCTTGGTGTTGGATGCACAAGTTGAATTTTATGAGAGCATTTTGTAATATTGGAAAACTTAAAAAGAAAAAGTACCATTCAATCAGCTAATTAATATAAAAGGGGTACATCTTCCTATTAAGTAATGATGTGAATGAATACTATGGTCTTGATTTCATTTAATTCATTAATCTGCTCACCCTTCGATTTCCATAATGTGGTAATTAGAAAGGTACCATCCAGCCAAACCATTACTCTAACACTATTTAACAAGACCAAAGATTTAACTCACCTTAGGTGTGTTTGTTTGAGGGATTTTAAACAATTTGTACTATTCACATCAATTTTTCCCCCTCAAAAACATCAAATCAAACACCTATTTTTCATTTTTTATATTATTTTAAAAATCAATTTTACATTCAAAACATCACATCAATATCTATTTATATCACATTATACCACTATTCCAATTCAACTTTTTTACTATTCAAATCTCAATCCAAAATCCAAACCCCCAAACAAACACAGCCGGTGAATTAAATCTTTGGAAACCAAAGTGGATAATATTATATTTGAAAGAATGCAAAATGCTTAGGTAGAAAATGGCAAAATAATAATAATAATAAAGTAAGTTCCTTTGGAAACACAAACTAAGAATCAAATGAAACAAAATGTCCTCTTTATTCATGCTCTCCCCACTTCCTTGTTGGCACTAGTTCTTGTACTCTTGTTGATGTGGAGCTTTCTTAAATGCTTGATCTTAATCTAAACAACCCTAATATGGTAGTAATTAATGTTCACTCTCCATGTAGGTAAGCTTAGCAATTGGTTTCTTGTTCCTTGGTGGTGGAATGTGGACATTTTCAACTAGCAACAGCTCCATTGCTGCTTTGCTTATAACTCTTTATCCACGTTTACCTACTGGACCAAATGACAATCGATGCCATATCCAGGTAAATCAATGTGTAGAAATAATTAGCTTAATTATTTATGGATTTACAATTGATGTCTTTCCAGATTTAGGTGATTCTGGTACTGATTTACACACTTTAATTGAATTCAAATCATGCTTAAATTCTGAATCGTTTCTCTTTGGTTTACAAAAAGCATAAGATAATGATGTGTATTTCTATCATCAGTATTCCATTATTTACGTAAGTAGTGTAGGAAAGTCAAACAGATCTAGATTTAACATGTGCTTTCTTGTCAGTTATTGTTGATTAGTTCTATATCACTTTAGAAACATTTTCATTCTGGAGTTTGATCTGGCTGTTTGTGTTGATCTCATGGTTATTGTAATTCATTTGTGTACTACAACTTATTTATATCTTAGAAATCATTGGCTACATCCCTTCATGCATGACATTTGAAAATTTAAAGGATTATTCTGTGTAACTGTAGTATTATGCCATTTCCCTGGTTAAAGATGTTTACCTGTTACACAAATTGGTGATGGGGCACATAAAAGGTTTGTTCTTTAGCTGCTTACTGTTAGATTGGCATAGGATCTCATAGTAGTACAGTTCACATATCCATGCAGTGAGTCTTAAGTTTGTTGTTTTGTTAATATGCTTATATTTTTATGCACTCTATATGATCATAGGCATTCAGGCATTTGTATGTTCTCGCATCTGAAGCTCGGTGGGTACAAACAGTTGATGTGGACACTGGGTTACCTGTATATGTCCCTCTTGAAGTCACCATCAAGGAGAGTGAGCTTTATGCTGAAACAAGCTTCTGTGAGGTCACTCCTTGTATTCTCCCAGAGCGTTGTTTTGTAAGTCTTGGTATTTTTATGCATTTCAGCCATATATCATTCCTTCTAAACCTGCTTGCTATAAAATCAAGTGTCAACATATTATAAACATGTCTACTTTGAAGAGATCACACTCAATCAAGTTTTTGAATTAACTTCCTGATGAGGTGTTGGTCTCTGGGGAAAGATGACCTAGTTGTCAGTTTTCCTTATGCATGGGATTCAGTGACCTTCATCGATGAACTTAAGCACAAGCACAGTAAATATCACATTGTCATGAATAGAACAGTTAGATGGCTTGCCATGCATTTGTGTATGATAATTAGGCTGTTGAGCCACACTAATTCATGATTGCTGCCAGCTGAAGGCTGTTCGTGTCTGTGGCCCTCGATACTGGCCTCAAGTTGTTGAGGTTTCCCCTAAAGGTATAACAACTTTCACTGTGGATTTTCTTTATCCAGTTAATTGCACTTTTGACTATATGGAGCATAGTATGTACAGAGAAACCATGGTGGAATTCTGGAGACAAGGATCACCCATTTAATTCAGGTGTCTTATATGTTAAACGAAAAGTTGGTGTTAGCTCTTATGTGGATGATCCCATTGGAAGTCAATCTTTGTTATCACGGGCTATGCACAAGGTTTGGTCCCCCAGAACTATTGCATTCAATTTGATACTTTATTGTTGTGATTCATGGAAAAATCCTTGTGCGCAGATGAGTGGCTTGACACATTCAAAATCATCCCCTTCAAGTACTGATTCCACAGGTGCTGTAACAATAGAGCAGTTGGTTAGCACTTTCTCATCAGATCCAAGCCTGATTGCCTTTGCCCAACTTTTTTGCAACTCAACCTGGAGTAGCAGGTAAGTTTGTTTGTGTTGGAAAAAATGGAAGGAATAATTTCTCACTCTGCTTCCTCTGTTCTATAGTTTTACATGTTTTAATTTTACTTTTTAGGTAGATTAATTTAGATGGTTGTACATCAAGAAATAAATGAGGAAAACTATATAGGTAAAGAAAAGTTGTAAAAGTATTGGAACAACACATGTAGTATAATTCAGCTTAGTTAGTTAAAGTTATCCTGTACAATATGTTGGATGAAAAATTATCTTGTGCAGCGGCGTCTGCCTGGTGATAGACAATTTTCAAGATATATATGCTTGAGTTAACAATTAAAGTACACCCTAGGTTATACTTTTTGATATCTCTCTGCAGATCTGAGCTCGACTTTAAGGAATTCTGCCTTCAAGTGTTATTTGAATGTGTTAGTAAGGATAGACCAGCAATGTTACAGGTAAGCTATAGGATTTCTGATGAACTTGTGTCTCCATTTGTTGAACTAAATATTCTATTCTGCAAGAGCAGCATCAGTCTTTGGTTATGCATGCTTTAACTCACAATCCATCAATATATTTTAAATACAATGAGCTTACTTATGGAAGTCCTTACTGACCAATTATTTAACCCCAGAAATGGGGTAACTTGTGCCATAGTACAAACTTTGTTTCGATCCTTTGATTTCTTAATGCATACACCTGAGAAGTAAAAACTCTTAGTTAAGCCTAATGAGCTGTTGCAATTAACCTGTACAGGTTTATTTGTCACTTTATACTACAATTGAATGCATGGAGTCTGTTGTTGGTGGCACTTGTATTTCCAGCGACTCACTCTCCCTTTCTAGCTTGAAGGTACATATTTTATTACCTTGCTCTGCGCATATAACATACTATTATTTACCATTTACAATTAATTTATGTGGATTGTTTAAGTTGAGCTAGTTTCTTGGCTAATTATTTTGATTCAACATGTAATATCCTCAGTTCTTTCCCATATGTTTGTATGTGTATGTTAACTGTTGGTTACAAGGGAAAATTTGCTGTGTAATGTTCTGCTTGTCGTGAAAACACATCAATTATTTGTGATATAGCATTGCCATATCATTAAATCATAAGTTTGATGCTTATTTTTAGTTTGTTGCTTGTTTAGCATGCAACTGAGGAATGAAACCAGTGAATCTCTGACGGAAATCTAACTCGCATAATAGACCAATGGTTTTTATCATCGCACTTAGTATTTCCCTGTGCCACTTATTTCTTTTTTTAATGTATATTTTTGGCACAGATTGCTCTAGCCTATAATGAAGCTCTCTCCAATGGAAGATTAACTACTTCGAGAGGGGAAATTATGCAATCAGCTTTTCTTGGGTCGCTCAAGAAACGAGTGGACGACCTTCTGAACAATTCTCTTTACGTGGATTCCAGAACCTTATCTTACACAATATCAGGCGAATGGCCAAGCGACGATTCCCTCCAAAGGAACTCCAGCACAGTCCTTTCTTGGTACCTTGTATGGTATAATTTCCCAACACCTCTTCAAATTAAAAATGCCACGGAGAAGATTAAAGGCAAAATGATAAGCTCTTCTGTTCCATTGTTGAGGCTAGTATTCCCTGCAACTCACATTACTGCCATCAATGCTATTCATAGATTCTTGTCATCTTCCCAATAATTTTTGGTAGGATGGATAATCAATGCTCAGTTTATTGTTGTCATATTTGTTAATTTGTTATGAACAATCCACTACTGTACTATTTGGCGTTGTGTTTTATGCACACTCATGAGCTTTGATATGCCATTGGCCATAATTCTGACTTTAATGCTAAATATTTGGAGTTGTACGCTTGTTTTTCATGTCCAAAGCACAGTTTGTGACAATATTATTTAATTTGTAGAGCAATTAACTATGCATTAGTCATGAAGATATTTTGCCCATGATAGCTTTCATTCCACAAGTGGATGACTTTGCACATATAGATTTTTTCACAACTGGTTAGGTTAATATGTATTTAATGTGCTAGTGGATGCATACCCACTTTGTTCCCTTTTCTAGTCACTGTCATGTTTAACTGAAAAAATTCACAACTTGCTGGGAGATGGACAATGTATCTGACTTGGCAGTGGGTTGGGTCATTCATTTCTAGAAAGAATGATGAATATGTGGCCTACATAATAACACTGGTCCGTACTACCCATAATCCACAGTGCATATATTATACATTGGTTGTGGGCATGTTTTGCATATAAATTGCTTGAAAACAATGGAGAATCAGGTTAGTTTTATTACCATGGAGAATACAGAGAGAAGTTATGCCGACACTAACGCTCAAGACGAAGTGTCTTTGGAGAACCCAAAAAAGGGAAGCCTTTTCGGGCGTTTTACAGAGATGTACCCACAAGACTTTGCCAAAAAGGTGCGAGTGTGCATGTATAGGTATATCATATATATGTATACCTTCCGTGCATATATGTATATGTTACTACTGCATGTGGTGTTTAGCTAGGAGTTGATCATTATCCATCATACAGGTAACGGCAGAGGTGATAGCTACGTACCTGTTGGTGTTTGTGACATGCGGATCAGCAGCCCTGAGCGCCAACGACGAAGGGAAGGTGTCGAGGCTTGGGGCATCGATGGCTGGAGGACTTATTGTGACAGTGATGATCTATGCAGTTGGGCACATCTCCGGGGCTCATATGAACCCTGCTGTCACTCTGGCTTTTGCTTCTGCCAGGCACTTTCCCTGGAATCAGGTTATTCAAATCTCAACTTACATGCCAAGTTAATGTACAAGTCACGCTGTTTATTACAGAGCTCGATAAATTTCACAAATTTTACTTGGCCAATGATTATTGAACTTTAAAAAGGTGGTTGGATATATAAATCAAAATATATACCTGGACAAGAACTGATGGTGATGGAAGGGAAAACATGGAAAAGGATATGTAGGCAGACAGCACATGGAAGATGTTTGAGCTTGTGGTGGGCATTCTTGCAATAATGTTATGGGAAGTCACCTGTACCAGACATAATTAGTGGCTTGAATAAATTGAACGTTACAGTTTGGTAATTTCTTGGAGTAATTTTATTTTTTTAACATAGTATGGAACAACAGGTACCATTATATGCAGCAGCACAGCTGACGGGGGCAACTTGTGCAGGATTCACACTTCATGTTCTCTTGCAGCCTATAAAGCTCGTTGGAACGACATCCCCCTCAGGAAGTGACATCCAAGCCTTGGTCATGGAAATCGTCGTGACATTTTGTATGATGTTCGTGACCTGTGCAGTGGCAACGGATACCAAAGCTGTAAGAAACACCCGGCAGCCACAGACAAAACAGAATCATATAAAACTCAGGGGCAATTTTAACTCTTAACCTCAATTTCTTTTTTATCTGTTGCTGGAATTTCATCTCAACAGATAGGGGAGCTTGCAGGGATAGCAGTGGGATCTGCAGTTTGCATCACTTCAATCTTAGCAGGGTGAGAACATCATTTAAATTAAAAGCAACATGAGCAACAGTAACCTGTGTTCACATGAATTTTGCAGACCAATATCAGGAGGCTCGATGAACCCCGCAAGGACAATAGGACCTGCACTAGCTAGCAAGTACTACAAGGGTATTTGGGTGTATCTAGTTGGACCAGTGTGCGGGACTTTGATGGGAGCATGGTCTTACAGCTTCATCCGTGTCTCGGACAAGCCAACCCATGCTTTAACACCTCGTTCATCTCCATTCAAGATTTTCCGGGTGAGCAATAATCAAGAAATATCAATTAACAGTTATCTTAACCGGGTGTGATGCATGGATCATGTCCATGAATGTTCCTAGTCGAAGCAAGTGCTAGCAAATAATACATTGTATTATAATCTAGTTGCGGAGCAAGAGATGTGCTTAGGTACCGGGACATGTAAAATATATATATATATATGCTACATGTATTTCTTTTCCGATTCCTCTCCAAGTTTACCGCATATAATTAGGTGCAGAAACCAGAATTTTGACATGAAATACTTTCAATAAATACATAAAACCCTTCCTAAGGATCAAGCATGGCTTTGAACACTAGCTACAGCTTGGAAAATTTGTTTTCATATAATAATAAAAGAGTGATCAATTGGGAGCTATTTACAAACCAAGAAGCTCCCAGGGTTGATGGTGATGCTCTTAGTGCAGTTATCGGTCTTATAGATCCCAACAAGCCGATCAGCCAACTCGAACATGTTATTCCGTAGGCTGCAAGAGATCGATGAATTATGAGACATCTGAAACGCTGCGCAACATCAGAGTTAAGTCTTTGAAAACATTTGTTATGGATTTACCTTATGATGACAAATTGTGCATCCTTGGTACGGTCTTTTATGTAATGCCCCACAATAGAAACATTTTTGAAATCTGGAAGTGAACATTGCAGGAGACAGCATCAGATAGTAGTCAAAGGAGAATGTATATATATATATATGTATATAATGATTGGAATAAATCCAAGGGGCAAACCTAAAGCAGCATCAATCTCATCCATTACATAAAGTGGTGTTGGTTTGTAGTGGTGCAGGGCAAAAACAAGGGCTAAGGAGCTGAGTGTCTGAAAGATCACCATAACGAATAAGTGGTAAGGAGGCATAGAGCAAAAAAGTTAATACATATAAGCTTATATGACGATGCAATCGATGCGAGATAACCTGGAGCGAGTAGTATTAATATAACAGTACCTTTTCACCACCTGATAAGTTAGCAATATTTTTCCAGCTCTTTTTGGGCGGTCTGACACTGAAGACGACGCCTTCAGAGAAGGGATCCAATGAGTCAACTAACTCGAGTTCTGCATCACCTCCCAATGTGATCATCTGAAGGTTAAAAAGGAGACATTTTAACGATTTGACACTTAGGCTACAAGCATAGGACCAGGAATATCTATCATATGAATTTATGAATTTGTAGCTTAATCAACAACAATACGGCAACTGAAAATATGAATTTGTACCACATGGACCAGGGATATCTATCATATAGTTAGTAACTTAAAGATAGCATTAATGGTAACAATCAAATCATGAGGAATAAAGATATATCTAGAGATAATAAGGGCCAAAAAATCAAATTGATGTTTTCTTCAACCTGATACATCTCTTTCAATTTCAATGAAATTGTGTTAAAACCAGCCATGAATTCATCCAGCCTGAAACATTGTACAGAAGATAATATAAATAAATCTGAGAGCCAATATTAGATATAACCAAATGCTAAATAAGCTTCAAAGAATCACCTCCTCTTTCTCCATTCATCGTATTGCTTCTTTAGGTCATCGCGCTGCTGAGTAACTGAATTAAGATCTCCAACTCGCTCATTGTACACAGACACTTTGTTTCGGTACCTAATGGAGAATTAGAAGTCACCTCAAAAGGTAGAACAAAATTCACAATATGAAAAGACTAAATAAAGCCCATGCATACTCTGAGATTGAGTCGAGATTGGGGTTCATGTCTTTCAGTTGAGCTTCAAGAAGAGTCACCGTCTCAAGAGCCCTGTTAAGGTCATGAGTTTTACCAAGAGTTTCATCTGACAGTACTGCTTGAATTTTGTCAGGATCTACCATATCCTTCTGAATCCTGAGATTAAAAACAACCAAGAGCGGCAGCTAGTAAATATAGATATGAGGTGGAAAGATTACCAACAGATAGGCAAAAATGGGCGTGGAGATACAAAGCATATTTTACAATTTACGAAAAAAGTCTTACTGCTCCATTTGCTTCAATACAGCAACTTCTAGATCATCAAGTTTTTTCTTGTAACCTTTCCCCTTAATTTCCAACTCTTTGCAGGCTTTTCTCTTATCTTGTAACTTGTATTCAGCATCTACCTGAACTAGTTACTACATTAGCTAAAAACAATGATGCGTAAAGTAAAAGAAGGATGAAAAGGAGAATCGGACCTCTGAAGCACGCAACTCATCCACAACTTTCTTCAAACTTTCATAGTTAGATTTTGCTTGACTCAGAACAGCTTTGTGTTGATCCATTAACTACAAATACAATGTTACTTATGCAAGTCATTCGCCTGTATTAGCATACCAATAGTATTCTACAAAGATTGCTACAAACCTCCTGTGTCTTCTTATAGTTTTCTTGGACCTTAAAAGCCTTCTGTTCTATTTCTTTAAAGGTGGAACGCAACTTCTCCCTTTCCTCCACAAGTTTTTCCTTTTCATTCTTGGCCTCTTCTATTCCCTTTGTGAGCTTCTTAATCATTTTCTGATTTGTTTCTATTTGAACTTTACGACGGTTGATCTCAGTGCTGTTTTTATCAATATCCTAAGAAATGGGGGGGAAAATATGTTCACTCAAAACATCTTTAGATCTTCAACCTCTCTGTTAGAATAAGTTCCTTTGTACTCACAGATTGAATTTTGTTAACTGTCGCCTTCTGGTTTTTCAGTCTTTCACCACCAGCATTTTCTATTTTATTCTGAAGTTCCAAGGCCTACAATGAAAACAATACTTTTAGGTAACAGGACCCTTCAAAACTCAAGTTCATCCATCAGTGGAAATAGCTTGGAATAACATAAATGATAATGCATATGACAAAGTCGTCATGCATGCATATAAATCATGGAATTGAAAAGAACTCGTTTTTATAGAAAAAAGGAATTATATGGAATCATATAAAAGGTGTTAACCTCGGGTGAAGACAGGTTATAATGATAACATGAGGAAATTTTATGCAACCAAGCAATGCTGATTGATCATTAGGATCCATAAACATAAACTAGATAAGGTAAATGAATCAAATAAACCTTGTCCTTCAGCTGTTTCGAACCATTCACAAGCTTGTTTATTTCCCTTTCTGCTGCAGAAATGATAATCCCCAGTTCCTTTAGCCTATCCAACTCTACTTTTGTCGGTTTTGCTGCTGCTTTCAGGGAATCTAGTTGCTTTTCCAGGTCAGCAGACAGCAGCCTTAGACTGTCTATCTGCCATAGAAATATGATTGCTGTAAGGCCAGCTACCACTAGCATTTGAATAGGAAAACAGAAAAAACAGGGATCTTAAAAACTAAAAGCTACCTCTTTTTGGCTTTTCTCTAACTCCATTTCCAGAGCTGAGATTTCTTTCTCTGCATCCTGGAAATCCTTCACTGCATCTGCTAGCTGGCTTCTCACAGTACTTAAGCTTTCAACCAAATCAGAAAGCTCCTTTTCAGCATTTGACATGACTTCGCCAGAGACACTTGAAGCACGAATAGATGTCCCCATTTTACCTCCACGAGGCCGACCTCCCCCACCACTCATAGTACCAGATTTTTCAAAGAGAGCACCATCTAGTGTCACAACACGCCAGAATTCTTTCTTTCCACCATAAGCAATGCGAGTTGCCTACATAAATAGTGACTACTGAGTATAATGAGGAAGAACAGAAAACACTTTATGGTGCACTGTGGGAGAATTCTTTAATATTTTCGAGTAACCAAGTAATATGAGCTTTGAGTAATGTGTAGTGCAGCACATGGATGTTGAATTGAGTTCCAAGTTGGGGTGGGTTGATATGAATTTTGAGCAAGATACACATATATAGACCAAATGAAATCATGGGTAAGGGACAACCATATGAGCATGTCCCATATAAAGTATTTTTTCACCCTCCAGTACCTACCTGATCAATATCTTTAGCTACAAGTGTGTTTCCTAATGCTGCAAAAAATGCAAGTTTCATCTTTTCATCCTGAACCTTGATCAAATCAAATAAGCGAGGAACACTTTCAGGGGTATCTATTTTCTCCTTCATTTTACGTCCTTGATCTGCTTGTTTTTCCTGCAATAAAATAAATACAATAAACAAGCATAGAAACATTTGTCTACCTGATTTGTTTCGGTAGCAAAAAGGTGCTCATGAGGTCAAAACTACCACTAGATTGAAATAAAATCATTACAACCACAACTAGGCGCTAGCAATATTATATTTTAAAGAACAAGAATCGATTTAAACCGAATTGTTTGAAGAACAATTATTAAGTGGATTGACCCCAGTATAAAATAACTCTTGTAGAGCCAAAAAGTTAACGTGCTGGCTGCAGATATCACATAAGCAGATTACCTATGTAGCTAATAGGAACAGGAAATTCAACAGGCCAAGGATTTGATAAACTTTATGATGCTCAACTATATTGAAAACAAGTCCTAGCTGAAAGAAAGCATAGTCAAGTAATTATTCAAATGGCAGGATATGAAGCATTCACATACTAGAATCATGAAAGTAGCAACACCAAGGTTTTGATTTCGAAGCAACTCGACACATGCTTGTGCTGCTGCAGTTGTCTCCACAACAATATAATCCAGCCCAGGGCATGCAGTTGATATGGCAACATCATATTTTCCTTCAACAGGGTGTCATGTATGGTTAGTGAAATACTCTACCAACAAGATCAAGTCACACACCCCAATTCAGGAAACTGAAATGACAACCCACACCTGGAATGACAGTCAATCCAGTACAAACACCTCAAGAATCATGTATTAACAAACTACCCTTTGCTAGTGAAAAATTAAACCATAAGTGGTGGAAGCATGCATTGAGAAATAAGTTAAAATTTATATTTGGCTTGGTTTGAAGAGTGCCAAAGGAATCTTGCAATGCTAAATGGGTGTGTTTGTTTGGGGGTTTGGATTTGAATAGTAAAAATTTTGAATTTGAATAATTGTATAATGTGATATAAATAGGTATTGATGTGATGTTTTGAATGTAAAATTGATTTTTAGTATAATATAAAAAATGAAAAATAAGTGTTTGCTTTGATGTTTTTTTTTTTTTGGGGGGGGGGGAGGGGAATGGAATGAATAGTGTATTTAAAATCCAATCCTCCAAACAAACAGTAAGGGTAAATACCAGGCCTGCGGCTGTGGCAGTGACAGTGAACATCACTACACTCAAAAGATGTGGCATTTGACACAAAAGCTGATGTACTAGTGTTTCTATTTGTAGCCTTTTCATGTGTTAAGAGTTCTAAAAACCAAACAAAGTCAATTCTCTAAGTAAACAAATTTATGCCTCAGCATAAGCTACCAAAGCACACAAGCATATACTCACCATCAATGGCTCCCAAATCTCCCATTCTGCCATAAATTCCTTGTATAAGATTTGTTTCTTTAGCGTGGTGTATTGCTTTTAAGACTGATCCCTGGTTCCTTTCAGATTCCATAACAGATGTAAGCTCTGCTACCTTTTGTCTCACAGCTTGTTCAAGAGGAACCAGCCTTTCTTGTTCTTCAAGGCATTTCTACAAAATTTAAACGCTAAAGATATAGGAAATACTTGACTGAGCAACATAAAAACTTTTAACAAAAATTTACCCGCTCCAATTGCCTAGCGTAAGATGACCGGAGCTTTTGTTTTTCTAGCCGAACTTGAGTATCTTTTAATCCTGAAGTCTTCATACCAATTCTTTCATGTATTTCACCAATTTGTTTCTGTGCATCTTCATATGCAGCACGGTGTCCTTCATGCTGTAATACAGATGTTAACATCCAATGAAGATCAACAAAGAAATTAGACGATTAAGGCCACATAACTACTGTGAGATATCTAAGCAGCAGTACCCTGACCACATTTTCAGAAACCTGAATTCCCTGTGCCAAATAAACAATTACATGGACTAAAAGAACCCATTATTTACACACATGCATAAGCATCATCATACCTTTTCATTCAAAAGGTTCTTTTCAGCTGAAGCGACTTCAAGCTTTCCTCTGTGTTCAATCAATTGCTTTTCCCAAGGTTCTAATTCACTACGAACATCAGCAAGCTCATTGCGGAAGACCTCTGCTTCGGCTGTGGGAATGAAACGGAATCAAATAATATATAACAAAAGCCAGGGGTGAAGCAATAACATAATAAGGATAGTGACACAATCACGCCATCAATCAGCGTACAAAGTTATTATTATTAATCCCATTTCTTCTTGGAGAGAATTGAACCACTACGATTATGCAGCAACCGTAACTCTACAGGCTTAATCACACAATAAATTATAGACTCAGATGTAAAGTATATGTAGAATTAGATCAACATCCATCCACAAGAGAATGGAAAGCCTTTCATGTTTATCAGAAATTATTAGAGAATTGAGAGGCATTACTTTCACAAGAACATTACAGTTAGATTGTAAATGGAACCTAAAGAAACTGTACAAAGATCAAATACAAGATAGATCATTTTTAATTTTACAAGAGCAGCATGTGAAAGTAATTCATAATATTGACTAAGGGGGCAATAAAATAGAAATTCTATATATGTACTAACCCTTAGAACTTTCTTGAATTTCTTCCAAGATTTTCTCTTCATTTGCCAACTGTTTCTGTAGCTTTGGAATGTCTCCTTCAAGCAGTGGAATCATATTGTCAGAGTCCTCACACTCTTTAGTGAGATTGGCAATTTTGGTTGAATCCTAAAATCAAAGAAATGAGAAGAGCCATGTACAGCAACATATAAATAAAAGGAATCAGTCAAAAAAACAACAGACTACACTTTGGGCTATTGCCTCACATACCTTTTCAATTTTATCATCAAGCTTTTTGATTTTATGTTTCATATGCTTAAAATCTTCCCGATACTTCAAGTCCTGCCTTTCAAACTCCTTGAAATCATCCTTGCAACGTCTAAGGTCGCTATCCAGCTCCTAACATTTGCAAAACAGGAGTTCTTAAATAAAGATAATGCAAAAATAATCCAATTGTCAAGTACATAGCATTAGCAAAAGATAATGAAAAGGAAGCTCGTAGGCTCCCACAAACAGCAAAGAACATGAGCAAAGAATGTATATACTTTACTAGGGTTGAGTGCAAACCTCCTGTCTTTTCATGTACTTCGTGTGCAAATCTTCAACCTCTTTCAATTCTTTGCTATTTTCTTTAATTTTCTCCCTGTGAATTACAGCCAACAGATGTCAGCAGCAATTTTATTGTCTGTCCATGACTGAACTGACCCCAACAAAAGCACCTTTCAATCTTCACATTTTCTTCCAGGTTTGACACAGCAACCTGCAGTTCTGCTACTTCAGTACCAGTTTTTTCCGAAGCAAGATTGGTGGCTTTCTGTTGCCATTTTAATAACGACAATTCTTTTAACATGTAGTCTTCTGCTTCATTCTTGACGCCCTGATGAAAGCAGCAGCATGAATGTCAAATACTTTGGACTGTATGCTTAAAGTCATCACAAGGCCCGAAAGTTACAATCACAAAATTTCACCTCCAAACTCTCTCTTTCCTTCTCTGCTAGCTTAACCATTTGAACAACACCAGATCTCTTTTCATTAAGCTCTTCCAGCCTGGAGGACAAAAATCAATGAGAGAACATTAGAATTACTAACACATACACCTTAATTTGAACATTATTGAACTTATAAATGCAGGAACATGGATTCTTGAACTAGGAGTTTAAATGTTGGATGACTTACTATAGAATAATAATATGGCAAACTAATGAGTAAACTCAAAAAAAGAAAAAGAAAAAAAAAAAACTTTAAACATGGTAGTTTATGATAACATCTCCAAGGGTTGATCACTTACTGTTTAAATGATTCATCAATCTTCTCAACGTACTTGATAGTACCAATTATATCCTCAAGATATTCAAGAAAGCCTTCATCATGGGGACCTTGAGCCTTTGGCTTCATCAGTGAAATTTGCTCCACTTCACCCTGAAGAGTGAGAAACATTAGCAAAGAAACTACTAGCAAAGAAACTCAAGCCAATCACACAAATATTACAGTATTCGAACCTGAAGAATCAAAAAGCGGTTGTTATCCAAGTCAACACCTTTCCCTCTCAACAACTTGGTGACCTCTGTGAAATTACTGGATCTATCATTTATATAATATTTCGAGGAATTGTCCCGAAATGCAACTCGTGTTATCACAAAATCACTTCCCGGTACAGCTTCATAAGTACCACCATCCTATAACCAACCATAAGTGAGCAACAAGGCAGTGGTTCAGAAATTAAAAGATAGCCTGAAAGTGGGTTTGAAGATGGCATACATACCACATCAACAATCTCCTGAAAGTGAACTGAGACTCCAGCACTGTCTAAATTTTGATGATTGGTGGAGTTGTGAATAAGCTCTGACACTTTATTCAGCCGCATCTGCGCGTTAGCAAATTCATAACAGCTTTAAATATGGTCTGCAACAACAGTAAATTGAAGATACCAAAATCCAGACGAAAGTTATGCAGATTACAATCTTAAACAATGAAATTAGATAGAGAATTCCGAACCCCTATCGAGGAAAAGGAGTTAAAAATATGTACCTGTTTAGCTCTCTTTCCAAACACAAAAAGCATAGCATCTATAACGTTACTCTTCCCACTTCCATTAGGACCGACAACCGCCGAGAAGCTCTAAATAATAAAGCACCAAAACCAATCATTAACTCCATCAGAATGGGCTCTAATTCATGTAGTTTTCATCGTACATTTTCTCCATCTTCACAATTCACTAAGAAAAAATTCGAGACCAAAAATTATAAAAAACCTAACCTTATGAAATGGGCCAACGCGCTGTTCGCCCGCATAGGATTTGAAATTCTTCATCACCATCTCCTTTATAAATAGCCTAGGAGGACGGCCCGCCGGCGGAGCAGACTTGGTGGCGAACTCCTCGGCGGTTTCCATCGGTTCCGTCTCTGTACCCATCGGTAAGGATTCAAAATTCAACCACGAAAGCTCACAGCACCCGGAGGAGCGTCGGCTTTGGCCAATTAGGGCTCTTCCTACAGCAACGTTGAACTAACAGATCAAAGCAGTGGCAGCAGCTCCATTATCAACCCAGGTCTGAAATTTGAACCCTCAAAATAATTTCGGGCGGGAAATGGAAGAGTTCATCCGGGACCTTAAAAGAACAAAAATGGGCCTAATTTCGGCGGCCCAATAGAAATAGTAATAATAAAAATTAAATTACAATCTATTTCAGAAAAGAATGAATCCCACAGTACAGTAGTACTGTACAGTACACGAAGAATTCGTTTTGACTGTTGTTGAATGTAGAGTGCTATTTTTGGGTAAATTTTCAAAGTGCATCTCATCTGGGCATCTGCGAATCACTTTCTGCGTGTGCTGTTTCTTTTTAGTAAGTAGTAGTAATATTTAATTTCAAGAGGTTGGGGCGTTGGAATCATCCAATTAAAACAAAAAGATCACATTTTTTCCATTTCTTGTGAAGTGAATAATACAATAGCAATAGCAGTAAATGGAGCAGATGATGATGATGAGATTACAGATCTAAAATGGCGAAAGAGGAAGAAATTAGGGGCATTTGGGGCCACCCTCCTTGGTCTTCCAGTTGTTGTAGCAAGGGCAGACACCTTTGTTGGCATAGTAGCCTGGAGGGACACAGAGGCATTTCCGGCAGCATTTCTGGCAGAAGAACATGCAGGGCTTGTGGTACTGTGTCTTGCTGCATCTCCGGGAGCACTGCGACGGGCACTGGAAGCTCTTCAGGCTGCCCGGTCCGTACGGATTCTTCTTCTTGCTGGAGCGTCGATGGTGCTGCCCCTGCCCCTGCTGAGAACCCAAAGCCCAAGCCTGTTTGGAAAAGGGCAGAAGAAATTAAGATGAAGAACTTTTTAAATTTTTGCAAGATACATTGTGCAGATTAATTAATTAAACTAGATTGAATGCGAGAGTGAGAACTCACAGGGAGCAAGGAAATGGCAATGAGGGCGACCAGGAAAAGGGCAATGAGTTTGTTAGCCATTTTCTTGATTTGAGAATCAAGAAATCAAAAAAGGGAGTTTTGAGGTGTGAGAAACAGAGCAGGCTAAAGAGGGCTTTAAATAGTGAGAGAGTGGGAGAGAGATGGTCATGGCGGAATCAATGGAGGTGTGGAGTGCAGAGTGTGCAGTGCAGTGGTCTTTTGGGACTCGGGGTGGGTCGGGGTAGGGCCCACGAGGGTATTGATTTTCTTTACCTATCTGCCATGGAAGAAAGCAGGGACACCCAAGTTATCAGGGTTTCACATGCTCCACAGTGCCCCCTTTGCTTTTTTATTGGGGGTGATGCAGAGGGAGCAAACTGCAAAAACTGGGAAATTAAAATTAATTGTTGGGGATAGATTTCAGAAATTAAAGAAATCTTTTTACAGGAGATAATTGAAGAAAGTAGCTATGCTTATTTATGGCGATGATAAAGAGAACAGGGAAGGTCGTTCTTGCGCGCTAACAGGAGTCTGGCTCCAGATATGATCGTGGCCGTTGATTGTGTGGGTCTTGCTGATGTATGTGTACGGCCCCACTCAATGAACGGCCTGGATGATTAGCTACCGAGTAAGAATTAGTTGTTGGACTTAAATTATGTGCTTGTGTCAAACAGTTTCCGTTAGGTCGAATATCATGGAATAAATATGTGATTAAATAAAAAACCCCATAAAGAAAAAAATAAATTTCAAAAATTAAAAATGAAAGAAACACAATGTGCCATTGGGTCATAACTCATTTAGTTGGACTAATTTGAATCAGACTCAAGCCCAATCTTAACTATATGGGCCTACAATTGCAGGCTCATATGGCCCAATAAGGTCGAGGGCCAATCCTAAATTATTTGATCCATCCCAATTTTATTTTATTGTACTATACACTATAATTTTTTCAAATAAATATATTAGATTATTTTAATTTCAAAATTATTATCTCACACATTTTCTTTAAGCAATATAAGCCAAAATTCATAATTGTGGTAGAGGTTAGGAACCAACAATTATTGAACTCGAACCACTAGAATGATTGGAGATCCCTCTTGCACGCGCTGCGCACGTGAACCCTCTGGAACTTAAGAAATATCATAATGTTAATAAAAGGCAGTCCTAAAACAATATATATAACCGTAAAAAAATAATAATAATAATAATAATAAAAAATGGATCCTCCTACTAGTGAAAAATGAAAACAAATAAATGGGCCTAACGAGGTCGAATATTGAGATGACCCATACTATTTTCATGGGCCCAAACACAATTAATCACTTATCCTAATTGGGCCGACTTACTGGTTGAATAAATAATTTACATAAAATATTATTTATTTTATTATAGACGTATTTTTTCCATATTTAACATTTAAAATATATATATATTTAAAATACATATCAAACACACCCTATATTTCTATATTTTTTGTTTATTGGTTGCAACATTATTGTCTTCATTATTTAAATTTTATGAAAAATATTTCACCAATGTGATTTTCTAATTTAAACAATTAAAAAACCAATAGTGTGTTTTCTTATGATTTCAAACACATTTCACAGCTAATCAATCAGTAAGATTTTAAATAAAAGCACATTATTATTTTTTAAATATTAAATTAAAATACTATTTTTAAAATTCAAATAAAATATTCAAATTTAAATAATAAAAAAAAAAAAACAAATTAACAAACCCCAATCAAAAGCAAACATATACCAATTAAGAGTTTGTTAACTTAATATTTTTTTATAGAACCGTCTCTCGTAAATATTATTAAAAAATTTAATATGCATACGCATGACATAATAAATATAATATATATCTTCATTAATACTTATAATTTAATAAAAAATAATATTTTTTATATTATCAATATAAATTTTTATACCGAACATAAAAAAATATATTTATTCAAAAATATAAAGTAAACAAACAGATGTTTTTTCAGAAAAAAAAAAATAATATATTACACACATTCATAATTTTTATATTATTTATATAATTTTTTCTATATTTTAACAAAAAAAAAAAAATTACATTTCTTCAAATTAAAATACAAAGCAAACAAATCCTTAAATGCCTCTTGGGTTATCCATTGTGTCGGTGGTATATAACTCTCAAAATTTTCTCTTAAATATTTTCCAATATTGTTCAAATAGGAGTATATTTTTGCATGTCTGTTATTATTATTATTATTAAAATAAAAAAATAATAATAAATAAATAAATAGGAGTATATTTTTGAAAAACTAATGTATTTTTAATATTTTTGTTAATACTTGCTATTTTTTTATATATATACATATAAAGGTACTCCATATATTTGAAACTAGATAAATCAATAAAAAAAATATTTAATTTACAAATTTATAAACACTAACGAAATCTAAATAAATCAACCGTAATAATCCAATCAGATCTATCAAAATCTATATAAATCAATAAGAAAAATCAATTAAAATCCGTATAGATTCAATAAACTTTCTAAATCCATTGAAATTTACAAATTTTTTAAAATCTAAACAAATCAATTAAAATTCTAATTTAAATACATCCCTAAGTTTTTTAGGAGAAAATTTTTAAGATATTTTACTGTTAAATTAATTTTTATGAAAAATATTAAATTAAATTTTAAATTCATAATAGGACATCAATTTTTATTAATAATAAATCGAATAATTATTAAATTTAAAATTTTACTCTTTAAAAATTCAAACTCAAACAAATGTAATCTTTATTTCGGCCGAGAATGTGAGAGCGCTTTTAAATGAAATAAGGCCCAATAAAAAAATGAGAAAACCCAATAATTTTATTATATCTAGGGTTTGGGCGCTTATATATAAGGTCCAAACCATTAAAAATCTTGCGGTGCATGTGGAAACGGGAGCTGTAGGGATTCACAGAGGAAGGTTTGTTCGAGCGAGGGAAGCATACGTGATCGTCTCCGAGATGCAGCCTTGGAGGGAGGAGCAATACTGTGTAACCTCTCCTTCATCGTCTATTGCTCGGTTGGTTTGTTTGTTTGTTTTTACTTTCTCTGTTGCTTAAATTTGGAGAAGGGAATATTTTGGAGAATTTCGCAGTGGCGTCTATAGATTGGGATAGTTCTTCAAATTCTCTGCAAGTTTGTCTAAAAATATATTCCAGTAATTTGGTTTGAACTTTGGATGTTCTACGTAATTTATTGATTCTGTATTGGCCTATTGAAGGTTAGAGGGGACGGATTCGGGTTGGGAGTTGAGGTTTATGGAGATTCTAGATGTTCTAATTCAATTGTGCGTGGTTTTTACCTGTTATAAAACTATTCAAGTATGCATATAAGACGAAAATGGTGATTGTTAGGTATTTAGATGCGGAAGAACTATTAGAGGCTTGATTTATTCAAGGACTTCTCCGATAGGATTGAGATTTTGTATGAGGATTTATATACGATAGGATTTATGTTCTTAGATTTGAATCCTATCCTGTGTTTGTGTTTTGTGTTTGTGTTTGGACGGGGTGTTTAGTTTAAGGATTTTGATTTTTGATATTTTAAACGACGTAATTATTCTTTTTATTTATTGTGATAAATTAAATTTTATATCCATTGCTATTTTTCGTAAACTTATTTTTTACTAAATTTAGTGTATTCTAATAAAAAAAAATTAATACGATTTTTTATTAATAATAAAAGATATAATATATATTCATTTAAAATACGACTCTAATATATAATCTATACATTAAAAAATATGACAATTTAATTATTTTTTACACTATCGACATTCTTTCTCATATTTAATATAAAAAAACAATTTAAACTAACAATACAAAATTAATACATTTTTAAAATAAATTTAAATTATTAATTGATATTTTAAATTGTTAATTTATTTAAATTATCATTACTAAAAAAATTAAATATATATATATATAATATTTTTATAAATAAATATATGATTTGTAATAGTATGCTTAAATACAATATTATATTTTATAAAATCAATAAAATATAATTTAAATGTAAATAAATATTTATATACATTTAATATTAAAAATGAAAAGAAATATGATTTTTTTATGGGAGAGTATAATAGTAAAATGAAAAATACAATGACATCGGATTTTAAAGTAAGACGGGTGGAGTACACTGAAAAATAGGATTTTAAAATCCCATGCACTTAAAATTCAATTATCAATTTTATAATCAAATATAAATTCATTAGGATTTTGAAATCCAAATCCATGGAATCCCACCAACCAAACAACCCCTTAGTTTTTCATGTTGCCAATTGAGGCGATTATTTTACTTTAGTTTTGCTTGTTCCAATTATAGGCATGGTAACATGATCCGTCAAGATCCTAAGTAATATCCTTAGATTAATAATAACTACTAGATAGAGAGTATTTGAGGTTGTGGGTGAGATATATTTAAAAAATATATGTTATATTTATGAAAGTTCTTTTATTTAAGAGATCTGTAAGACTTTTATCTTATTTAGAAGATTTATATATGGTTATAAATATATACGTATTTCATATGATTTCAATTACATATTCTAACATGATATTAGAGACAGTTTCTCTCAACGTACATAAATGACCTGTTATATCTCGTATATATTTTATATTTTATTAATGTATTTGCTTCTATCCACAGTTATGTGTCATATTCATGCAGTCTCCATCTCTGCTAATTTAATCTCCATTAACATAGTTCTATTTTTTACTCTAATGCCGTTGGAGAGTTCTATTTTTTACTCTAACGTCGTTGAAAGTTCTATTTTCGACTTTAACTTGATTGAGAGCAAGCGAGCCCTATTTTCGACTATAATTCAATTGAGAGCGAGCGAGTCATGTTTCTGACTTTAACTTTGATGTTATGATATATTTAGAATATTTATATTATATTTATGATAATTGTTCTATTTAAGATTTTTGTAAGATTTTTGTCTCATTTAGACGATTTGTATATCACTATAAATATATATTTATTTTTAGTAATTTATTTAAAAGTTTTGTATGTCTATACCTTAACTTATAAATCATCATTCTTATGTACGATTAATATAACAAAAGTTGTTTTTATTGCTTTGTCATCATTATCATTTCAACTTCAAATTTAGAGTCTGGTG